CTAAGCTACGTACGTGAAATGGCCAATTAACTGCTAGCTGCCTATAGTAGTAGTAAGGTTAGAGAAAAATAGGCTAGGTACCTTGTAAACTAGAAACCTAAGATCAAGTCTTAGGTAACTAGACAGCGCGATCACTAGAGAGTCTTGTGCAGTAATCTAGCTATTATCAGCCCCTAGTTTAACCTTGTGCGCAACGTCAAAGCTAAATATAGTATCTAGGACTAAGATACCTATAACTTTAACAAGACTAGCTTCTAGATAGGTGTTAGAGGGTCTGTTAAGGTAGTAACAGCGTCTAAGAGGTGTCTTAAGCTACTTAGAGTCTAGCCTAGTAACTATAAATAGGCAATGTTAATTACTATAATTAATACTATAGGGTAGGTTTTCCTGCCCTTTATTATCTTTAAAGCAAAGAACTACAACTAAGCCTAGTATTACAACCTAAAGGATTAGCGTATTAGTGTTAGCAAGAATAGCTAGACAACAAATAAACTAGGCCTAGAGTGGCTAAAGCACTTTATCCAGCATACAACAGCCTAGACAGTGGGTAGCTACTGGCTGCTGATTATTGATGGCCATGAGAGCCACAAGTCGCTTGCCTTCCAGGATCTGTGTGAGGAGAACAAAATTATTACTCTCTGTATGCCTCCTCACACCTCCTATATCCTACAGCCACTTAATGTAGGCTGTTTTGCCCTATTAAAATAAGCATATAAGACAGAAATTAATATCTTAGCAAATAGCTATATTACTTATATTAATAAGAAAGTATTCTTAGCTACCTTTAATTAGGTGTTTAATAAGGCGTTTTTATCTAATAATATCTAATTAAGCTTCTAAGCAATAGGCTTAGTTCTAGACAACCTAGAGGTAGTGCTATTAAAGCTTAAAGTAAAGCCTTGTACGCTAATACTACCTTTACTAGGGCCTACTACCTAGCAACCTAGAACACTAAGCAACACTGCTAAAATATTAGCTTAATTAACACTAATATCTAACTAGATTAGGTAGCACTATAGTTTATCTCTAGCTTTAATTATTAAGATAGTGCAGTAGTTTAAAAAGGGAGGTAATATAATAGTGTATTCCTAGGTGCTTATAGTAGCTAAGATAGTTAAGCTTTAAGTAGTAAATAAAGCTACTTCTAAGCGTAAAGTATATAAAAGGAAGTAGATCTAGTATAGAGGAACCCTATTACAGCAAGAGGCAGAGGAAATAATAGCTACATAAGAGGTGGTGGTGCAGGTAGAGGCAGAGAGGCGTAAGGAGAGGGTGCAAACAGGTGGTAGTAGAGAGGGTTCTTAACGCTGTGGGAGGTGTGGTTAGGCTGGGCACAATAAGCGCACATGTAAGCAAGATACTGTAGACAGAGTGGATTAATTTGACGTACTGTGAGCCACAGCACAACGTTGTGGTGTTGAGTTATCTGAGTGTCAAGGTGGGTGGCTGCATAAGGTGGCCGGCTCAATTGCCTGGCCGACTCAATGGCCGATTACGTTAGTAGGAACTCTATCTTTGTAATATAGTTAATCTAGTTACACATAAGTATTTTAGCTTAGCGCCTATACGCCTTCTTTAAAGTAGCAAAACAAGCTATATTAAGGGGCTGTATAAGATGTAATAAGTAGGGAGGTAAATAGAGAGTAATTATCTTGTTATCCTTACAGTACTGCTAGAATTTGAGAGAGTTATAGCTCTTATAACTATTAATAATAAGCAAATAGTAGGTGCTAATAGTATGCTCCTTTGTATGCCTGTTAAAGTGGTTTATCTAGTCTAGACTAAGCTTGTTAGTAGTCTAGCTGTTATTAGAGACTCTAATAACCTAGTCTTAAGGCAGATCCTCTTCTTTGTACTAGGTAGAGAGGTAGTAGTAGGCCTTAAAGATAAGGAAGGTAGGAATAGCCTATCCTTTAGCATTAATGCCTACTATAGCTGTAGCCCACTCCTAGTTGCCCAGCTGGACTGCCTTTAGCTAACCTTGTTATTCTAAAGCTATAACAACTGCTCCTAGGGAGATCTAGCCTATTATAAAGCCTGTCTTGTTAAAGTTGTACGTGTCTTTATGCTAGATAATATACTTAGCTTTAGTGTTAGCTACTAGGCTAAACTAGCCCTGCAGAACCTTAGGATCTTCACAGAGGGCTCTCTTATAGTTATACTTGCAATTAAACTTAACTTTAAGCTCTAGGTATTGCTTAACAAACGTACTAGGCCAGTTTGCGCCAACAGGGCCTAGATCACGCTCAGCGCGCAAGGAATTAGCTATAGTAGCCACATCTAAGAGCTAAGGGGAAAATGTAACAGTCTAGACTCTAAAGCTAAAGAAGAGCTAGAGCTAGCCAGTTACATTAGCTTAGCCGGCTTGGCTTAAGCTAGATATATATTATCTACGCAGTTAACTAGACGTCTAGTTAACTTGTGCATGCTTTTTAGCAAAAGTTGTTAGGAAGTAGATATCCTTTATTGGCCTTTGGCCAGACTACTACAGAAAATCCTTGCGCATCTAGCTTAAAAACATGTTTAATAATCACCTTCTCCTTATTGTTGTCCAGCTTCTGTAGGTTAGCTGTAATATTAGCGCATGAAGGTTGTCCTGCGCGTTGTCTACTTAGTGTAGCTTAAGGAACCCTGTAGATAGTAGCAGCGCGTTGCAGGGATAGAGTCGCGTCTTGTTAAAGAGCTTGAAGCGCAAGCTGTATCTGAGCTTCGTTTGACACGTCTAAATAGTGGTGTTGAGAAGGCATTAGTATGTAAAGGGTGGTTTGGTGGGGGCTTGGCAAAAGTGTTCCACTCGCTCGGTGTTCCACTCGCCCGTGAGGTATGTTAAGACTTTCTTCTTATAATCTTTCTCTCGCATATTTCCTTCTTAGTTATAGCGCCATGCTTACCTAAGCACTGTTAATATAATCTCCTAAAAGAGAGGATTAGAATAGTGTGCTTATAAAGCCTGTATCTCCTCTTGTTCTTAAGATATGCTATTCTCTATTTTTAGTAACTAGAAATGTTCTAGACCCTCTGCTTACAAATAGAGTATCCTAGTCTATAAGATGCTAACGTATATAATTATGTATGCACCTATGTAATCTTGCTTATATATGCAGCAATACTGAGCATAGATTACAAAGTAGACCTACCTAGAGGAGTCTAGAACGTTCTGCTTAGAAATACAGATTGTAAAGAAAGTAGGGGAAGGACTAGACTACTTTCTTCCTAGTCTAGAAGGACCTAGACAAATCTAGACTAGCTTTGTCTAAATAGGAAGCGTATAGCCTAATAGAGGTAAGGTACGGTTATGTAATATAATAGAAAAGTTATTATATTAGATACTAGGGAAAGATTCCTAGGCTAGGTACAGAGCGAACAGAGGGGGGAGAGCCAGAGGTATTTATACTTCCTCTCCTCTGTCTGTATTTCTAAGCAGAACGTTCTAGACTCCTCTAGGTAGGTCTACAGCATCTATGCTTAGTATTGCTGCATACGCAAGCAAGATTACGTAGGTGCATGCGTAATCATATACGTCAGCATCTCACAGAGTAGGCTACTCTATTTATAAGCAGAGGGTCTAGAATATTTCTAGTTACTAAAAATAGAGAACAGCATATCTTAAGAACAAGAGGAGATACAGGCTTTATAAGCACACCATTCTAATCCTCTCTTCTAGGAGATTATGATGACAATGCTTAGGTAAGCATAGCGCTATACCTAAGAAGGAAATATGCTAGAGAAAGATTATAAGAACAAAGTCTTATAACTTTACAAAGATAAAGGAGAGGAAGTATAAATACCTCTAGCTCTCCCCCCTCCGTTTGCTCTGTACCTAGCCTAGGAATCTCTACCTAGTATCTAATATAATAACTTGTTAATTATATTACGTAACCCTACCTTACCTCTATTAGGCTATACGCTTCCTATTTAGACAAAGCTAGTCTAGATTTGTCTAGGTCCTTGTAGACTAGGAAGAAAGTAGTCTAGTCCTTCCCCTACTTTCTTTACATAGAAAGATATAGGAGAAGATTTTAAATCTAATACAAGTACATAGTACGCTAGATTACTATTTAATAGCAAGTAATTTAAGTTGCTGCAACATAAGTTAGGCGCGCTATGATTTTTTGACTAGTTTAGTGATATAACTAGCTCGGTGATAGAGTACGTTATACAACTCCTGTAGCTGCAAAATTGCTCCACGCAAGAAGTTTAAGTAGCCAGAATAATTGCACATATGTATAGATTAATCCACTACAGAATCTTGTGATAATAGCTATTCTGTGTGGCTCTACAGCCTCATGTTTGCAAGTGCTTGTTTTGGTGGTTCGGGGCATCACGCGAATCCTGGCATCACGCGCACGGACACGGTAGGGCACGGACTTCTTGATCGGCCAAAAAACGAGCTTCTTCGTACTGCGGGCGTGGATGTGATTCGCTGGTGCCTACAGATCGTACAATTTACTAGCTTCAAGCCTTCGATATGCTTGGGAGACTCAAAAAGATGTCTGCCATCTAGAGTACTCTCAGAAGCTGCACATGAGCCGGGGTGCCCGTCGCCTCCAGGCTGAGGTGTAAGAGCCACCAGACGGTGAACCTCTGATTGTGTCGTGATGCGAATATACATGAGCCACTCCTATGTGATGTTGTACACAAGGCTGTTCGTATACCATCCCATAGCCGTATCGTTATCCGAACGAGCGAACCGCCATGACATCCGTAGCGCCCGCCAACCCAGCCAAGCAAATGCATGTCGATACTCGTAAAGCGCAAACGTGAACTCATTAAGTCTTGATCATCCTCCTTCTCTTGCCGATCTGTGCAGAGAAACCGGTCTTGATAGCCTGTACCGAACGCCTCGATCCGCAGCTGTTGCAGGTGACGAAGCTGAGACGGTTCTCACCCTTGGAGAGGCTATAGCAATATTAGCGTGTGCAGCGAATAAAAAACTGGGGCGGCGTACTCTGTGTCGGGAGAACGGCAAGTCTTGCAGGTGACGTATTCGACAATGTATCTCCTGAGAACATTCTCGATCTGTTTCTGCTGGAAACGACCCTTGATAACGAGACGGCGAGAGCCGTCAACGGAACCGCTGGTACCCAATTCGGCGAACAAGAATTGGGTGACGTGCTCGTCGGTACGCTTCATTCTCTTGCAAATCTCGGCGATGTTGGCGAAGATAGTCTTCTTGTTTCCTTCACGGAGGCACTGCGGTGGCGGGATCTTGTAGCTCTTGACGCTGTTGCCGGCGAGATCGGGATGTTGCGAGTGGAGGAGCGTGAAGAATCGGTTGAGGAGCATGTCGTACTTGACAGGAGTTGTGTTGTCGTGCGACCAGATGCCGGTGCCCTTGATCATGTCACCCTCCTGGACGTCGTCTTCTTCGGCAGCAGGTGCCTCCTCCTCAGCAGCATCGCCACCAGCTGCCGCTAGCTTGGCCTCGAAGTCGTCCTCGACCTTCTTCTTGCTGGACTTCTTCTTCTTCTTGAGCGCAGCGAAGTCGCCCTCAGCGGCGGCGTCACCACCCTCCTCGCCCTCCTTCTTGCTAGACTTCTTCTTCTTCTGTTACATGTCAGTTTCCATCTGATTTCGATGGGGTACAAGGTGATCGCACCTTCTTGGCTAGGTCGGCGAACATCTCGGTGACCTCCTCGACGTCCTTATCGGCATCTGTAGCCCAATTTGTCAGCCGGTTGTTCGTCGTAGGTATCGCTATCGGGGGCATTACCCGCGAGCGCAGGGGAGCCAGTGCTATGCTTCTCAGCGGATAACTTACCACTGTTGGTCTCTTTCGACTCGGTGACCTGCCCATCGCTATCGACGATTGTGTTTTCCTCTGAGAAGGCGACGGACTTGCGGGGCTTGCGCTCGGCGGCTTCCTGCTCAGGTATGTTAGAATATTAGTATTTGGCAGATCGACCGGCAACAAGCAGGTGGTGAAGAATCGCAGTTGTCTGATGTTGGTCGGACACAATGGATTTGAGCGCGAACGTGGGGCTCGAGATGACGTACAGTGTCGGCCATGATTGCGGTTGTGCTCGTTTCTGTTACTATCAACGTTGAAGCTGTGATCCTGGGTATCGAATTCCCAGTAGTCCGCAGTTATAGGTTCGAAAGGTGGGTGTGGAGTCGAAGGGACGGAGTTTGACCTTCAGTGTTCTTTTTGCCGCACTCACTGTGACTCTGAGATATCTTGGCGCATCAGCCACGGTACGCTAAGCCCCACCATCGCTCATTGGCTCCTTTCGCTCGGCTTCACATCACCAAACGCGCGCCGGGATATACCCGCAGCATCAACTCCGTGCGACCAGACCTCAGCTCCATCGATGCAGTCACGGTAGCCCACAGTCATCGCCGAATCCGCACCTCCTTCCTCGAATACCAACACTTCCCCACCGCCACCATGTCTCTGAGCAGCAGTCAGGGCTTCATCGAGCCCCATGCGAGCTCCTCCGAGGCCGACATCGACTCCCTTCCTAGCTCATCTACGAACTCCTCGGTCGACGAGGACGAATATGTTTCAGATGCGGAAAGAGAGTGGAGGGAGTCGTTGCAGCAAATGGAACTGCTGCTCACAATGGTGATGGTACCGTACATTGGCAAATACTTTGGGCGGAAGTTGGCATATTATAGTACGTCATGCTGGGACAGTCACAAGGATGGCTAAGGTGCTGATTCTTTGCAGGTTGGGCGAAGTTTATGGAATGGAAATACCCTGTCGAGGTCGTCATCACAAATAAGACAGCGTTCAAGGCGGCTGGGGCCATCGAGGCTGCAGCAACATTATAGCACACCGAGGCACTTTGGATTTACAGCAACGGCGTTCGAGGCGCATGCACATTTGGGTAGGCATATGAAGGACGCTCAATGGGTGATCCAGTATATAATAATATAACTCCAAGAAGTCGAACGTACAGCATGGGCTAGAGACTTGGAGAGGTGTCATACACCAAATCATCAGGAAACCACCTAAAACAAACAGATACCACTCATATCGTCATTTCCACCCCGTACCTCAACGGCAGCCAGAACAGTTTCAGCCTACGCTCCAGCACCTGCCGCTCGTTCGCACTTCTTTGGCTTCGTGGGAGGTCTGAGCGATTTGATTCCTCTGAGATCCAACATCTTGATGAAGCCCCATGTTTGCCCGTAGGTGACTGAGCTGACGCCAATAGCTTTTTGAAAGTCGCCAACCTTCGTCTCGCCATTATCGAACCATCGCTTAGTCAGCTGCTCCTTCCTTTTCCGCACACGTTCATAAACAAGTGTTGAATGGCATCGTCTGTGACCGTTGTATGTAGGAATGCACGTCCAATAGGCAGCTGTAAATTGAATTTTACTGTTTGCTAATGGGTCAACTGTGGAGTCTCGACCTGAGCATGTCCTGCTTGACTGAAGCCAGCTGACAAGGCAAAAAGCTCAAATACCACATCGAAACCGGTGTGAGAATCCCTGCTTTCTGCTGACGCAGCATGTCTACGACCACGACTGTAGATCTATCTCTGAGCTGGATGGACGAATAGGTTCTCTGCGAGCTTGCCCGTGGAGGCTTTCTTGTTTCCGAAATCGCAAGCAGATTTGACCGCGATGAACGACTGGTCCGACAGTACATCGACAAGAATCACATGGAACGAACCGTATGGTCTCGACACGACGACAATGTTGTGGAGAATCTCCAGGACACCACTGCGCCCAGAGAAATCTGCAACACACTCCTGTATCCTCGGACTAATACTGCTGTGACATCCGTGCATATCAGCTAGATCTCAGGAGTAGTACCACTTCCAGTTACATGATTGGAGTAAATGGAAAATGGACTTCGATAGGCGACTTGTACATACTCTGTGGAGCTGCGGCAAGATTGAGCACTGAAGAAATCCATAACGACCACTTCCGCAACACTGGGACTCTGGAAGCTATTTGGAAACGACGATGTGAGTTATCTAGACATTCTACCTCTGTACCTAGCGACCTCAGCGCTTCCACCGACGGGATCCCCGGACAGCAGAGTCAGATCTTGCAGCCAAATTAGACGTCCCGACCCGGCCAATCAACGAGAGACGTGCATGAGCAGACGATGGTCTTCCACACCAACCTATCTGCAGAAAATAGAGACGGGATCCTAGACTTAATAGAGCGCTTTAAGTGGCCGGGAACTGCGCAATGGAACGGCGGAACCGGGATTGGATCCTGGAGCGGCCCTGGGTTTGCGTGGGCTGATGCTGACAATGAGCTGATAGCGGCTCTGCACCGTGAGAATGGCCTTATGTGGAAAGGGATCGCGGATACTTTTTTTGTTGATCGGCTAGAGGTAGAGCTTGAACTGCAGTGTGGGATGTTGTCGCAGGGAGTTGACGTGGACAACTCAATCCAGCTGGACTGATTGTTCCGGCTCCAAGCTGAGATGGCACATTCTCAAGGGATATATCACTGTATCAACAGGAGCCAAGCATGCAAACCCCATCGTTTCCTCGTCTATCTCAAGAGATTATTACATTTCCACACTTTTGCTTAGCGGCTTAGCCCTGGTAGAAACTGATTGACTTGTGTTTTGCAACCGCATGAGCTCCAGCTAATTTTAAAGCTGGCGGAGTCTCTTCCCTTCACTTAGACATAATCGCATGCGGACCCAAAACCGCACGTGCCACGGCAGTAGGTATCCTCCTGGGCGATCTTGCAGTGTCAGTCGTGCTCGCAGGTGTTGCCGGGCTTGCGAACCTGGAGTTCATGTTAGTATGGATGACATGCGCGAGCGGTACATATGATTAAGACGCACCTTCACGCAATTACCATACGTGGTAACACATTCCTTGCATGAACGCTCATCCTTGCCGCCGGAGCCAGCGGTCGCCGTATCGACGAGAAGTGCCAGCGCAAGGCCGAGCATGGTGGCGGGACAAAGACCGAGCATAGTGGTGGAACTGTAAACGGCCCCGGGGTTTATTCATTGTTGCGTAGTTGGATAGAGTAGAGAAAAGATCCAGCTACCGGGAAAGACGAGGTGAAGGTGGCTCATCGACGAGAACTCGCCTAAAGGCTAAGGAGGCCCAAAGACCGAATGACTTTCAGCCAGTTTTGAAGGCGATACCGATGAATCTCATGCTGGCTCAAGAACCAAGAGGCGATCACGTCAAGGCATACGAGAGAGTGAGGTGCGAAGGAAATCCACTATAGCTGCATATGTCTGCATCAACCAAACTTAGCTTAGATCTTAGATCGGAATCAGACATGTGACCTCCTAGCATGGGCGTATCCTACTTAAAACTACCGTCAAGTCTTTCTTCTTACCGCAGCCTTGTACTGTTGACTAGTACTTGACTTGATAGGGAATAGGGGGCAGAGTCATCTTAGTTGTTGGTTGCACTTACCTTGCCCTCGGAAGCTTTTCTTCTCGCGTGCCACTCCCTTTCGTCGTCGCGCTTCTTCTTCTTCGCCTAGTATACTACTTATCCCCAAATTCATTTACTAATATATGTTATCATTGTCTCGTCTTCCATCAAACCATTACCGGGCGCGTGGTTCAATGGTAAGACGCTCACACCGTACAACCCACCGCAGGCCGCGGTGGTTTAGCGAGCTATGATGAGGCAGTATACAATGAGATCGGGTGATGTAAGAGATGTGCGTTCAGTTGGCACCGCGCCCATTTTTTTGCTCATTTACTCGTCTTCCGGCGTGAACTCCTGCTCATTTTTAAAACCGACAAGCCGCTCAATAGCCCCGCATGCTAGAGGGAAAAGACTCTACCCGTATAGCCAGTTTAAAGCTCCATGCCCAAGAAGCAGCTATGTGTGCCTAGTGTCTGTGTACCTGAGGAACGCTGTAAATTTAAAGGGATGTTCCGAACGGGCAAATTAGCCTTTCCACGCTGCATCGTACACGCGTCAGCTTACCACGCTTTCGATGCGATTGTTTGAAAGAATCCACACGAAAGTCATAGTCGGCTAATGCCACGTTGACGTCGTGTCGCTATGCTAACGATGAAAAATCTAAAATGGGAGCCTAGATTCACCGGCCTTTCCAGAAGCGGTAAGAGATCCCCAGACAATGTCACTCCGCTATCCTGGGCGCCAAAAGCTTGACTCGACTGCGATCTGCGCGATGCGCGACAGCGGTCGAACTGCCTACCAAAATAGAGGATTCGCTATCTCGTTCGCAATGCCGATCTGTTGAGTGGGTGGAGGGGCAGACCGAACAAGTCAACTCTGGGCGCGCTGGCGAGGCTGACTGCAATTTCATGCATGTTTAGAGAATCTGCTGTCTGTCGTACGCTGTCGAATGCTAGAACGACACCTGGGATGTCATGCAGTTATGTCGTGGACGAACCGCTCGACGCTGTGAAATTCAGTCGCTGACGCCATGCACCCTTGCCAAAGGTCCACCGGCAACAGAACACTCCACCATAAGATCGCAAAACCACCACTTTACCGTTTCACAAACCGCTCACTTTCACCACGGTTTCGGTTCCCCACGTTCACCGGAGGGCGTGTGCCAGGCTTTCGGAAAAGCCATGGCTGTGGGTCGGCCTTGCTCACTAGCGCCTTGTTCGTCGCTCATCCGGCACGCTCAGCTCTCGTTACGAGTGATCGACAAGCCTTGTTCAGCCCAGAAGTCAGCACCACCACAAGCCATCTGTCATAGCGCACATGCTTCTAAGCTTTACGAAGCCTTGTACACCTGAACCCTGCGTGAATCTTCGCCTGGATTGTGTCGTACGCCGTGCAAGGCGCCGGTCATGTCCGCCAATGTTAGCAAGAACTGGTCGCGGCAGCCAATACAGTGATTGTTTGGGACGACAGTTGACTGTCAGCTTGAAGGCAATTGGCTGCTAGTGTTGAGGCGAGAAGATATCTGTGGAGAAGCTCGAGTCTTCAGGTGCTCATGTCTCTCACGGGTGTGTGGGAATGCAACATGCACCGTGTGGCGGCCGCCTGTTGACCGTGACCACTAAGCGAGCAGGTTTTCGTAAGATGAAATGATGTGAAATCTGATAGGTAGTGTGTGGATCACACGGCTCATGCAATCCACGCAGGCTTTTACTCATCAAGAGAGAAATATATATTCGCCAGGTCTCAGTCACTGTCTCGTAGAACACCCGGCGGCCTTATTTTCTGTTGTCTACCCATTACCATTGGAAGCGCTTCATTCAACATTCATACTTGCCAATCATACATCACTCGTACACCTCGAACTGCAAATGATATAGCCAGGCAATCAAGACAATCAAGATGTACACCTCAGCATTGGCATCATCACTGCTCATCCTCGTCTCCACAACATCAGCACTAAGCCTCCTCCCTCGCACAGACTCTTGCCCAAAGGTTTGGTCAACAGTCCTTCCGGAACTGCAAATTGCCTTTGCTGGCTGTGGTCGTGATGCACATGGCGCCATCCGCGCCCCATTCCACGACTGTATCAACAACGGCTGCGACGGCAGTCTGATCTTGACCGATGAATGCAGCCGTGCGGAGAGTGCTGGACTGTCAGATATCTGCGGAAAGCTACTTTCCTGGACACAGAAGTACAATACTAGCGCCGCAGACATGATCGAATTCGCGGCCGCGGTCGCTATCTCGTCATGTCCACTTGGTCCTCGTGTCAGAGCATTGGTGGGCCGGAAAGACAGCAGGGAAGCTGCGCCGCTGAACAGCATACCCGGTAGCCGGGACTCGATCTCATCTATCCTAGACAAGTTTAAGGCAAAGGGCTTCAGCGGTGACGACGTTGTGGCGCTGATGGGAACGCACTCCGTGGCTGTGCAGGTCAACGATGATCCCGCGCAAGCAGGAAAGAGTCTGGACTCGACGCCAAGTATTTATGATTTGAAGTTCTACCAGGAAACTTTGGATGGCACGGCTCCATACACCTTGCAGAGTGACAGAGGTCTTGCGAACAACACTGAGGTGGGTGACCCAAAATAATCCTACATTAAATGCAAAATCTAACACAAAGTAGACACAAAAGAAATGGAAAGAGTTTGCAGATGGTGACACCAGTGCTTGGATCACTGCATTCACTGATGCTTGGAACCGGTTTGCTGTTATCGGTAACGATGTAGGCAGTCTGCAAGACTGCTCTGGTATCATCCCATCCGGTGCTTCGGAGAGAAGACTCGCGAAGAGGCTCGGCAGTTCGGCGGCAGCAAGAGCGTTTGTCAGGCGGTTATACGACTCTTGAGCTACACTTGCTGCGGTAAATATTTTCAAGCATTGGCCGCTTAGGACTAGTTGCAACCGGCAAGGCATTCACAGCGATAGTAATGAACTTGACATCTCTTCCTAAGCTGACCCACCTCCAATTATTACTCATGCTGAGAGACACGTCACGATGGTCTTACTTAAACATATCGGCATGATGAGCCGCTCCGGCTCTCTTGATTGAAAAAATACATTCAGGAAATCGCTATATAGAATCGAAAAGCTCCCACGGGGAGATGCATATTTACAGATGCCTTTTGGTACTCATGCGTAGAAGCGTGACCGGAGAACGACTGGCTTCGGGTTCTGAACAACACGCTTACTCGGCAGCCTCCTCGAGGAATGCAATGAGCTCCTGGATGGTCCAGAGCTTGTCAGCAGCAGGTGCAGCCGAGGCAGAGGCAGAGGCAGAGGGAATAGCCTCCTTGGAGACGGCAGGGGCAGTGGAGGAAGCAGTCGCGGTAGGAGTAGCAGCCTTGGTGGAGGATGCACCAGCAGCAGGCTTGGAAGCAGTGGGCTGGGCGGCAGTGGAAGTGGCGGCAGTGGGCTGGGATGCGCTGGGCTGAGCAGCGTTGTTGCCCTCAGACTGGACACACTGCGAGTAGTAGGGGTTCTGGACCTTGCAAGTGAAACCAGATGCGCAGGTGCTGCTACCAGTGTAGCCTTCACCACCGCAACGGCCGTAAGCCTTGACCTCGACATCGGAGCCAGAGTCAGAGCCAGAGGTGGGCTGGGGCTTGGTGACGGTAGAAAGAGTAGTTTTAGCGGGAGCGGACGAGATAGCAGCGGCAGACGAGGCGGGAGCGGGGGTGGTAGGCTTGACAGCAGCGGCGGAGGACTGGGCAGCAGTTGGCTCGGCGGTGTTGGAACCGCTCTCGATCTTCTCGAGCCAAGCAATAAACTCCTCGATTGTGAACTCAGCGTCGCTTCCGGGCTGAGCCTCGAGGTAGGTAGCGAAAGAGTCAACGTTGTACTTGTCACCAGTCTCGGGGGCGGGAGTGGAGGAGGCAGCAGGTGCGGAAGCTACAGCCGAGGAGGCAGCGGCGGAAGTGGCAGCCGAGGCGACCGATGTAGGAGCAGCAGGCGATGTAGCAGCAGCTGACGAGGCGATAGGAGTCTCAGCAGGGGCAGAGGAAGCAGGGACGGCAGAGGTGACAGCAGCGGAAGTAGCGGCGGCGGACGCAACGGCAGTGGATGAAGGTGCAACGACAGCGCTGGAGGCAGAAGCGGAAGCACCGCCAGTGGCCTTGGGGACACCAGAGATCTCACCAAAGGTAAGAAGCTGAGGGTCGACCTTGGTACCGCGAGCGTACAGGGCAGGGCCAGGAGCAGGGTACTCGCTCATGTCCTGGTGAATGGAGAAACCGAGACCTGAGCCAGTCTTGGAATAAGCCTCCGGGAACTTGACACCAGCAGGGGTAGCAGTTCCATCGCCAGTGACGGTAACCTGGTAGCAAGTAACGTAGTGCTGGGCACCACCGGAGGAAGAGGCAGCGTGGAGAGCGATGGCCTCAGCACGGAGGAGGTAGTCACCAGGGGCAATATCCTCTGGGATAGTAAAGTCGAGCTTTCCGCAGTTGTAGTTGAGGTCCTTGGTGCCCCAGTAGTCGTTGTCACCTTGGGTAGAACCTGGCGCCTTCTTCCATGTGTTCTCGTAAACCTTGAAGAACTCGGATGAGCCGTCAGCAGTAGCAGCATCGTCTACTTTGGACATGTAAGCCAAGACGGGACCCCAGTGAGCGCCACCAATTCCCTCCTCAGTGCAGAGACGGGTGTTGTGCTGGTGCATCTCGATGGTCACTGTATCACCGGCCGCGAAGCCGCACTTGCCAGAGGCGGCAGCAGGGCTGACATTGCACTGCAGAGCTGTGGATGTGTAGTCCTCGATAGGGCTGTTGGAAGGAGGCAGACGAGCGCAAGTGCTCTCAAGATCCTCTCCGTTCTTCCAGAGTTGTTGCCAAGTGGCGTGGGCGTTAGCCAGCGCAGCGATACCTGCGATAACAGCGACGGTCTTCATGATGGGTAAATGAGTGTGGGTTTCAAAAAGAGCGACTTGAAAAAGAATGAACGAAGAACGAAGTTTGTGATGCAAGGTAAAGAGAGTCAGCGCAGCTGCGTTACCACTTAAGAAGATGAAGCGCCGCACATCTTATATCACGCCCGTCTAAGGAGCGCTACTGCCGTGAAAGCCGGTATATGGTTAGCTCCAATCGAAGCAATTGTTTCGTACTGCGCCAGTCGCTTGTAAAGGACAGCGCTAAAGAAGTGATGTTTCTCGAACGGCATGCGCATTGATGACCCGGAGGAAGCTTTGCCTTTTCCTGCCAAGGTACCAGATCTTACTGGTTTCAGAGAGAGCTCGTGATTGGTGGAGCAACTGCTGTGCCTGGCAGTAGGCTGATGTTGGTCTGGATAGCGCCCGCTGTCAACCCGTGCTTGATCCTTCTAAATGCAGGGGGTTCGGTTATGCTTTCTTACCGAGGATACCATCTGTAATCGTTCTTTACCCTACACTGTATGACGTTGATGTTCATGAACCTATCGGTAGTATCCATACCACCGCGACCCGACGATTCTCATTCCTTGCGGCACATTGAACGCAGCATGGCATCCAGGGCAAGGTTACCTCGTCTCCTTCGGAGGATGCATTTGGAGGTCCGAACAGCCTTTCAGTCAGACGGCCAGTGTGGCGCATCCAGAATCCCGGCGCCCCTCTGGGTCGACCATGCCGGGGACCGGGCGTAATCTTAGCCACAGATGAAGGTGTTGTCGTAGTGCAGATTCTTTCAGAAGAACCCAAACGCTGGGGATTGAAGCAGGTGTCACGAATAACGCCTGTGACTTTGATAGACGGCCTATTCGTTTGTAGCAGATGGCAATTCTTCATTTCTGAGTCGATGTGTAGGAAACACACGATCGAGCTGTCGAGACAAGAGTGTGGGCGACAAGGCTCGCGCGGGTTGGGTGAAACATCGAAGTGGGGCGATATATGTAAAACGGCATTTGCATGATCGCTGCATGGTATAAAGCGGCTGGCGAGATTGCACAGAATCGAGGAAATGAGCACCAGGCTTTGTAAGTCGGAATGGCGAAGAGGGCGAGGCTCGAGCCGATGGGATGTCGCGAGCTTAAGAAAGGCGGCCGTCGACAGCCTTGCGCGTCCGACCAGTCTCGGCTGATGAATGCACGTTTCAGCAACACCACTTACATCCACCTCAACACCTGAGGCTTACACATTCCCACAGTGATGCTTCTTGTTGTCACCTCCAGATCTGAACATCCTTGACGGATTGGATTCAGAGATTGAGATAACGATGGTTTGGTCGACAGATTGGAGACGAGATTGCTTCCTCTTGGCAGGTCCCGCCCTTCCACTCAGCCTTATTAGGAACTATCGAATGCAGTTTGCGAACAGTTATTCTGGGTACACCATCTTCCTCCCCACTCCGCCATCAACCACGACTTCCTGGCCCGTGACGAATCCACTTTCAACCAGATACTCTGCCGCACGTACAATATCCTCACTCTTGCCAACCCGTCCAGCCGGATGCCATTCAAAATCGTTTTTGCTCAACCCTTCTTCCCATCTCGCTCCCTTCTCATCCCCAGCTTTGCTTTCGTTCTCGACATGGATCCAGCCTGGGATGATCGCGTTCACTCGGATTGCGTGGCGGTGACCTAGAGAGATGGACATCGACCGCGTAAGGCCTAGGATACCCGCCTTTGCTGTAGAGTAGGCTTCGTGGTCCGACTCAGCTTGATAAGCTCGTGTGGATGACACGTTGATGATAGTGCCCGGGGAACCTCTAGTCGATTTGCCAGCAATAAGGAGAGGTACGCAGAGTCGACTGAGGACGAATGGAGCGGTCAAGCCTATAGCAATCTTGAGATCCCATTCAGCCTCGATGTCGTCTCCTTCCCCTTCCATCTTCCGATTTTCTGCGATCTGCAATGTTGTCGGAAAAGCATTGTTGATTAGTACGTCCAGCTTTCCATTGAATGTCTCCTTCACAGTTCGGACTGCATCCTTGATCTGCTCGCGCTTGCTCAGATCGCATTGCAATGCGTGCCAGTTCTCTTGTGTGCTTGGCCACTTTCCCGCCTGCGATCTGACGTGGTCCAGCTCTTCAAAATTAGAGTCGAGGATAATCACTCGATGACCTTTTGACAGAAATTGGCGGAAGAGACCGCGACCAATACCGCGAGCTCCACCTGTGATAAGAATATTCAAAGGGTCCGACATGTTGGAGTGCTCTGTTGTTAGTAGCAGACTGCAGCGATCACGGTGGAACCGCGTATGCCTATCAATGACGTCATCCGTGTAGGTCAATTGGCACTAACGCCGTCTTAGATAGGAGCAGCAAAATATACAGTGATGTCTTCAGTTGCCGGCAGACGTCTCCCTAGAATGTCCCGGAGGATCCAGCCACTGCACTTTTACAGCCTCGATAGACAGGTCCAAGAATATGGGTGGGTACTGAAATGGGCCGTCCCAGGCAGCTCGGAACTAAGATGGTGCTCGACTCATTGCAAAGCTCGTTGCTTGGACTTTTCGAGCCATGCAGGAGATAGCCACTAGTTGCCACTCATCTTTGTCAGATCACAGCGAGAGCTAATCTCCATTAGATCGAGCCACTATAGACTGGTTCCCTGCGATCTGCGCGGCACTAATCCAACGCGATCCGATTTCATAATCTGTGATAGCCCGCGAGGAAGTCTGTGTACGGGTGGAGACGGAGCATCGAACCGGATTGCCCGTGGCCAGACCTCCAGCTTCCCAAGCTTCTGCGCAGATCCATATATCAGGTGTTGCACAAGACAGCTAAACCGTCGGCATCGAGGGACCAGGACGCGTCCGCGGCAGTGATGGTATGGGTTTCGAGACCTCCACCGAGAATCATAGATTGGCAACAATGGCACGCAGATCAGATCGCTGCCCGTCCTTTTTCTGGAACCTTTGGCTCTGAATCGGACATTGGTGTTGACGAGAAGGCTGCTAGGATAGTCTCCATCTGGTGAGCCTTGTATGTCTGCCCTTGCTTTGATCTCAACATTGATTGTATGATTCGATATCTGAAACCCTTCCCTTCTTCGACCACATTATGCTTGGGTTACTGGTACACTATCTTCTGAGCGAGTAAAACTTTGTAGGTAACAGCCTGTCGCACACGTCATGTGCTGTTACAAGAACGTGGTATAGGTCAGCCTTCTGAAGTGACACCTGTGTTGGCTCTATCGATACCTCCGAGGTTAGTCGTTTTGGTTGTCGGCAAGTATGTACACGCACTCATATAAACACTGGATGTCGGATGGCGCAGGTTCAAGAAAAATCATGTTGGATTCATACTACGATATAGGAGAGTGAAGAGGAGAGCGCCTACTGAAAAGTAACCAGATAGCACCATGTCCTTCGGGGGTGCCTTGTAGCGCCTTATGATAGCGTTCCCGTCGGGGTGTGTTGAAGTTCGCTCTGCGCCTTCACAAAGGAGCGTTGTCGCTAATAACCAATTGCAACGCCAAAAGAGCCCGAGATCCGTGACATGTAAATACCTAAAGGCACATTGCTAAGCCGCTTGACTTGAAACGAGCGCTTACTGTGTCTCCTCATCGCTGGCATCGAGGATGTCGTACTCCTCATCGGTCATGAAGCCCTCATCATCGGAGTGAAGGGCAACACTTTCAGCGTCTTCAAAGAACTCCTCGTCGGAGACAACAGTGACAGTACGAGCGATAGTGCTCTTCTCTGATACTGGAGACTCTGGCTGAGCAGTAGATGTCTCATATGTGCTGGACTCGGGCGACTCCTTGTCAAGCTGAGGGAAGATCATGCCGGAAGCTTGAGCAGCGGGCTGGCGATCGACCTGCTTCTCCTCGACGGGAAGCTCGGCCGTCAGCTCCCTGGCTGGTTCCTCTGGCTGTGAGATAGCAAGTGGTCGGATGCTGGCAAGAGCAGCTGCGTGCTCCCTGCGGCGGTTCTCAATCAGACGCTCAACGGCAGCCTTGCGGACCTGCTGGATACGCTCCATCTTCTGCTGCTCAAGCTGCTGCGCCTGCGACTGGCGGATGGACTTCATCTTCTCCATTCTAGCCTGCAGAAGAACCTCGTACATCTGGGACGACGAAGAAGCCTCGGTAACCTCAGGGGCGTGGGCGGGAATTGGGGCGGGAGCGGCGACGGTCTGGATGTCGCACCACAATCGGTGGCCGAACGGAGTGCCATCAGTCGTCTTGAGACGCCAGTACGAGATGGCGGTGCCCTGACGCAAAGGTGCCCTCATAACGATGCGGAAAGAGACTTCCTCGCCGACCTGAACAGGAGCTCCACTGACATTGCTCTCGCTGGCATCGGCAAGCTCAGCTTGGCTCAACGGACGATTGTTGTCGATGTTCAGCATGTTGTCTCCACCAACGTGTCGAACACTGCAGCCAGCAGGCCATGCATTGGGGCCAGGGTTGCGCATTGTCCAAATTTGCACGAACTGCTGACCAGCGCAGATCTTGGAGCCGTCGATGATGGTGTCACGGATGAAGTGAGCGTCAAGAGTTTGGGTTGGGTTCTCGAGCTTCGCAACGACAGGCTTCTCCTGAATAGGCTCAGACAAGAGATCCTGAATGACAATCTTCTCCTTCTCGACAGGCTCGGCCGAGGGCCTCATATCAACAATGGTCTGGACCTGGGTTGCAGCGTTTGTGGAGGGAGCAACAGGAGCAGTCTCTGTTGCCGTCGAGCGCCTCAATACAGGTCGACGATCCCCAAGGGCGGTGACAGAGTTGTTGACCTTCTCATCCATAGTAGTAACGCTGACGTTGCGAACTGGGGTCTTGAACTTGATGAGAGGGTGGGTGTGGTTGTGCTTGTTGCTAGGGTGCGCCTCGCAGTTCTGGCAGAAGTCTGTATCGTGGCATACAGCGCACTTGTAGCGTGTACCCTCAATGTAAGAAAGGTTCTCCTTGTCCTTGCAGAGAGGACCATCGCAGTAGATACCGTAGTGGCGGCAGCCGCTTGAGAGAGGCTCAGTAAGAGGCTCGTATATGGGCACGAAGCGGTGACGAGGGTGGATAAGCTTAGCACTTTGCAGGCAATGCGAGCAGTAGTCCCAGTCAGGGCAGTTCAAGCACTTGTGACGGACACCATAGATGAACTTGTCACATCCATCGCAGACTGCGTTGTGGCGTGCGTTACGGCCGGGGTTGCAGAGCGCATTGCCCAGAGCGGAAAGAGAAGTCTCTGTGTTGGCGCCCTTGAAGGCGTGCCCGGGGTGATGGCCGTGCTTGTTGACTGTGTGGCAGTCCAGGCACAGATCGTAGTCCTCGCAGGCAGTGCATGTGACAAACTCCTTCTCGGAAAGGACTGGCAGAGTAAGTATTGATGTAACAAGCGGAGTCGTTGTAAGCTTACCCTTGACGCAGCTGTTGCAGGTGCGAGTCGCCTCGTCCTCACACGTGACAGACTGCTTCTCGTCGGTGAAAGCATCAGTGAAAGCATCGGTGAAAGCACCGGGAATCTCCTTCTCTGCGATCTTGACCTTGGGTGGGATACGCTGGGTGGTGCTGTTGACAACGTTGCCGTTCTTGACGAAACGCTTGACCATCCAGTGGCCATCTCCAGGGCAGTGGATGCCCGAGTCTACACAAGCAAGGCAGAGGTCGTAATCTCCATTGTCACAGACGCTGCAGTGGAAGTGCTCGTCGTCCATAGGGTGGTTGCAGTTGTTGCAGTAGACAACCCAGGCAGTGCATGCCGCTACCGGTTTGGGGCGGAATGTGAGCGCATTGTTTGCGAGCGGAGCATGGTGCGGGACCTTTGCAAGCTTATCGAAGAAGGCTGTTACTGAAGTCAGAATGAGTACAGAGCTTGTCAGCCGTGAGGCTGAAGAACAGGCGGCACTTACCTTGACGAGTCGTGAACGGCTTGGGCACAGGTGCCTCCCCGTCATCTGCAGGCTTCAGGGGCGAGACAGGGCTCACAACCTCGAGCTTGGGTGCCTCGGGAGAGCGGGCGATGACTGGGGAGACTGGTGCAGCGACCCGAGGAGCCAAGGTCTCGGAGTTCAGGCGGAAGACGGATGGGTCCGGGACAGCAGCACGGGGAAGCGCTGGAGGAGCTGGCGCAGGGAGCTCGATAGACTCGGCGGGAACGGTGGCCCTCAGACGGAGCTTGAGCTTTGCCTTTGCGGCGCGGAAGAGCGTCTTGTAGACCGTAGGCGCGTTCGAGTCGAGGGTGACGTACGCGGCGGCGGAGTCGGAGTAGCGCTCGAAGACGACCTGCTCGTCATCGCGGATCTGGAGGCCGGCACGGAGCTATGTAACGACTGTCAGTCCGTCTGCTGTTCAACAACAGAGCGGCGGCAAGCTGCCGAGCTACCTGCCGGAGGGAGGCGGCAGCCTGCTCGACCGGCAGCTCGGATGGAGTGCAACGCACCTTCTCGGGAAGAACACTTGGCCCCAGGTCCTTCAGCGGCAGCTTGAATCGCCTGGGCTGGCCGCGGAAGAGCACCTTGATAACGATGGGCGTGTCGAGCGTGACGGGGGCACTGGTGGTGGCAGCCATGGCGGGCAGATGAAGCGGCGGCTGGCGACGGTCGGTGTCGGTAAAAGGAGGAGGGGGCGGCGCTGCAGACTCGCTGCGGCGCGGAGTGCTTCAAGAGTGCAGCGGTCGAGAGCGGGCGCTGCAAGTGGATGCTGGGCGGAGGGAGTGGAGGTTGGAGGTGGAGAGGGCGAGGGAGCTGGGTAGCTGGGGAAGCGGTAATGGAGCTGCGGCTGCCTAGCTCGGGCGGTCTGAACGTGAGCGAGCACTCAACCGCGGTACCGCGCAGCGCTTTGCCTCTTGCAGGCAACACTTTTTGGTTCAAGTCAAGCGTTTGACATTTGCACTGTAGGTGCCTTCAGTTGCTGCAGGAACAGTCTGTAGACGCACTGTAGGTGTGGTAGGCGTGCTGATGATGATGCTACGACTGCACGACAGCTGCACCTGAGGCAGCGATAAGGTTCCCGTTTCACCGGTACACGATAGCAAGGGCCGGTGAGCGCAGTTCCAATAATCGCCGCGACCTCACCGTTAGGCCCGAGTTGACCGCTAGATGGTCATTTGATCAGTACCGGGCAAACGCAGCCATCGAATCCAGTGCAACAATGGCGGGGCCAGTCTTTTGCCCCCGATATCTACGTCTCAGGCTGTCAATTGATTCGAGCATCGACGCCCGTTCGAGCGAGACATCCAGAAAGTGCAATGTAATGCAGACAGATCTTTGATGTTGATTCGCACATCAGCAGTGCAGCAGCCGTTCCTCAATGCACGGAGAGGATCTGCCCCACACGCCGGCACGCTAATGCGGCTGGGCTCCACAAATTTTCTCTCTGTGGAAAACTGCAAAAAAGTTCGCGTCCAGCATCAACGCTGTATAACAAATATTCCAACATGTCAGACGTCGATATGAGCTCAGACGAGGAGGTGAAGAGGGTCGTGAAGAAGGAGAAGGAGAAGAAGAAGAAAGAAAAGAAAGTCAAAAAGGACAAGAAGGAGGGAAAGATTTCTAAATCAAAGATTGAGGCCGAATCGAACTCGGACAACGAGGCCACCGACACACCAGCGAAGAAGCGCAAGCGCGAGGTCTTGCCTGACGAGATCGTCGTCGATGTCGCACTCCCCGAACCGGCCTCGAAGAAGGCTGCCCGTGCTGCGAAGAAGGCAAAGCTGAATCCCAAGCCTGCTGCGACCGAGGCGTCTGGCGACGCAACAACAGACGGCGCCAACAGCGAGGCAAAGAAGACAAGCGAAGAGAAGCGCTCAGAGTTTGGCGTATGGATCGGCAACTTGCCCTGGTCTGCCACCAAGGACTCGCTGCGCAGTTTCATCATGGAGAACACGGAGATCAAAACCGAGCAGATCACCCGAGTGCACATGCCTCCGTCTACAAAGCCTGTTCCCGCACATTGGACCACTAAGCCCAACAACAAGGGCTTCGCATACGTTGACTTCTCGACCGAGCTCGCCATGTACGCGGCTATCGCAATGACCGAGACAAAGATGGACGGCCGTGCTCTGCTCATCAAGAACGCGAAGAGCTTCGAAGGCCGACCAGATAAGCCCAAGGCAGAGGCCGAGGAGGCTGGCGGACGTGGGGCGAAGCCTGTTGGCAAGACCGGTGGTCACCCTCCAAACAAGCGTGTCTTCGTTGGCAATCTGTCGTTCGACGTCGCCAAAGAAGATCTTGAAGCCCACTACGCCCCTTGTGGATCCATTGAGAACATACACATGGCGACTTTCGAGGACTCGGGCAAGTGCAAGGGCTACGCCTGGGTCACATTTGGAGATGTTGAGGCTGCCACCTGCGCCGTCCAGGGCTTCGTCATGAAGACTGAGGCTGACGTGAAAGCCATGAAGAAGAAGAACGCAGACGGCTCCGATGACGAAGATACTGAGGTCAAGAACCCGACAAAGAGGAGAAAGTGGTTGTTGAACAAGCTGAACGGGCGCGAGATGCGTTGCGAGTTTGCTGAGGATTCCACAACACGATACAACAAGCGCTATGGCAAAGACAAGCCAGCAGCGCCCGTCGACGGCGTGAACCCTGACCGCTGGAAGAACTTTGGAGGTGACAAAGAGAGGCCAGGTGGACGACGAGAGCTGCGAGAGCCACGCGCGCCGCGTCCGCCCAAGAATGGACCCAACAGCGTCCAGCCTGGTACGAAGATCGATCCCAGGTCCATCAAGAGTGGTTCAGCGCACATGAACGCTCAGAGAGCGAGTCAGGCCATTGTCGAAGGAAAGGGCAAGAAGACCACGTTCGAGTAGACTGGCGATAAGCTCTCGTGCAATCGTGGTCGGCGTATGAACATTGCGCAGCGGCATCTGCAAGCGTGACTGCCCAGCTTGGAAGGCAGCTGCACTTCGACTGTTGCTTATAAGATACCCACTTCACCACACATCGCTGCAATCACCATACCTACATTACGTGCCTGTTACATTCTTATTACATTCTTACCCCTGATACCCCCCAAATCCCATGTCAAACCTCAAGCGCGTTAACGTCAAGCTCAATCCTGCGTGCGAAAAGGTAGGTGTCGCATCGTACACGAGTTTACTGAAAAAGTACGACTTCGCGCCCACCACCGCCGGCCCTTACCAGAAGATCGAGCAGTCAGAGCGTACCTTCAAAAACGCATTCAGACCCAAAAGTAAAAGGGAGACCAAGTCTGTTCTGCGCAAAGTTGATGAAAGCGGCAAGCCTGGCGAGGTCAAGGCAGAGGACCAGCAGAACGATGCCCTCTACATCTGCCCAGTCGAGATTGGCACCCCGCCACAAGTCATGAACTTACACTTCGATACGGGCAGCTCCGACCTCTAGGTATGATATGTCCATGCTTTCATGACCTGGATATGTCAGCTCACATCTGGTGCGCAGCTGTGGTCCACTGGACTCGACGCGAAGACGAAGGCTGCGCGCGGCGAGCACAATCTGTTTGATGCAAAGAAGTCCACCTCCTTCAAAACCATCTCGGGCAGCTCCTGGAAGATCAGATACGGTGATGGTTCGACTGCATCTGGCATCGTTGGTACCGACAATGTCAATCTTGGTGGTCTCTGCGTCGAGAACCAAGCTATCGAACTTGCTTCCAAATTGTCAGCACATTTCATAAAGAGCGCCGGCGACGGCCTCCTCGGCCTCGCGTTTGGAAAGATTAACACGGTCAAGCCCAAAGGAGTCGCTACGCCTGTTGAAAACATGGTGTGTTCTTCCCGTCATCGTCTACAACGGCCTTCACTGACATGATCTCTCTAGATCACACAAGATGACATTCAAGAGGGTCAAGAGCTCTTCACCTGCTACCTCGGCTCCTGGCGCGACAAAGACGAAGAAGACAAGGGCGAATCGTTCTACACATTTGGCTACATCGATCGAGAAGTCCTCGATCGCTGCGGCGTCTCAGAGCCTCACTGGGTCGGCATCGACACGACCAAAGGCTTCTGGCAATTTGCTTCTCCCTCTGCCTCCATCAATGGCAAGGTCATTGACCGCGGCCCCAATACTGCAATCGCTGATACCGGCTCCACACTCGCGCTTGTCAGCGACGATCTTTGCAAGGAGATCTACCGGGCTATTCCAGACGCGAAATTCGATGCGAAGGTCCAGGGCTGGGTCTTCCCCATTGGCACTCCAGTTGACAAGCTGCCTAAGGTCACATTTGCGGTCGGCGACAAGCAATTCGAGGTCCAGAAAGAGGATTTGGGATTCGCAAAGGTTGGGAGTGGCATGCAGTATGGCGGTATACAGTCGAGGGGCGACTCCAAGTTCGATATTTTAGGTGATACATGGCTAAAAGCCGTGTACGCGATCTTTGATCAGGGTAAGAAGAGGTTTGGTTGCGTGCAGAGGATTGAAAGATACCAGAACATCGCTGCGGCTCCTACTAGTGGTAAAAAGTGATGGCCTTGATTGCAGTCGAACACCTGGCTAGTATGAAATAAGAGAGATAATTCACGCAGCCGCGCAAGCAAATGGAGCGCTTTGGTCAACGGAACATGTTACATTACTCATTAAAACTAGGTTGAGAATAGCCATTGCTAACCACCATCCTCCTCAGCATGCTCTAACGCACTCCCTCTTTCCACCAGGCTGCTCTGACACGATCAGGACCGGTACTCCGACAGATCAAGGTCGGCCTCGAGGTAGAGCTTCCTCGACGAAGCACCAACGTAGATCTTCTTGGGGTACTCGGAGATGACCCAGTTCTGGGTCTCGGTCTCCCAGTTGCTCACATCGCGGCGCAGGACATCAGCCGAGAACGTCACAGTCTGCCCCGGCTGGATGCTCAACCTGTCGAATCCACGCAGGACAACGGGCGGGTCGTCCGGACCGCCGAGGGAAAGGTACAGCTGCGCGACCTCGTCGCCGGGGAGCGTGCCATTGTTGGCGATCGAGGCCGTGACGGTGAATAAAACGTCCCACAGCTGCGGGTTGCCTCCTGGCGCGCCGCCGGCAGGGATGCGCTTCTGGGGTGATCCGTCGCTGGAGCCGGCGGGCCAGGTGTACTCCAGACCGTACTCCGGGTCGAAAGACGCTTTGGCGAGATCCGTGCTGTTCAGGTACGGGTAGATGAAGGTGCCCTCGCGCGTCAGGTTAGCGGGCCACTGGTAGTCCTGCAGGTCCGTGCTGAAGTTGCCTAGGGTGGGCGCAGCGGTGGTCTGGCCCGTTGTGGGCGTGTATTGACCGGCGCTCTTCTTCTCGACGTTGATGTTGGAGTACGAGAATGTGGTGTAGGAGAGTCCGAACCCGAATTCGTACACAGGTGTGATGTTTTTCTGGTCGAACGCGCGGTAGTCGATGAACACGCCCTCTTCAAAGTTGTCCTGTGGAGAGTCGTTGCCCGCGATGGGTGTGTAGATCAGGTCGGGACCGTACTCTTCGGCTGCGGTACCGAAGGTGAAGGGGAGCTTGCCGCCGGGGTTGACGCGGCCGTAGAGGATGTCGGCGATGGAATTGCCGGATTCTTGGCCGGGAAGACCAGCCCAGAGGACGGCGCTGTAGTATGTGTCAGTGAAATCGGAGTTGGGATTTAGTAGATGAGCTTACGTGACGTTCTCGGAGTCGTAGAAGGAGTTGACGAGGACGGGGCCAACGGAGTGGATGACAACGATGGTGTTATTGCAGAGCGAGGAAACGTTCTGAATCAGAGTATCGCCGTCGTGCCAGATGGTGAGGTTGTTGCGGTCACCGAAGTTGGTGTCGACGGTGATATAGCCTTCACCGGAGTCGGCGTTGACAAAAACAATAGCGACGCTAGCCTGTGCGGCCAAGATCTGGATCTGAGAGTAGGCATAGTTGTCGATGACGGATGATAGAAGACCACCAGCATCAGTGACTTCGCGCTTGATGGCCTCGAGCGGAGTAATGAGGTAGGGGAAGTCAGCGGTTCCTGAGCCCCAGCCCATGGCGAGAGTGCCGTTGTCGCAACCACGGTCACTGCAGCCGTTGGGTCCGTACAGATTTTCACCAGCATCCTTGCCGAAGACTGCGGTCCACTTCTCGTTTCCAGAGAGAGGGAGAGCGCCATTGTTCTTCAACAGGACCGTGGACTTGGCGGCCGAGGAACGAATAGCACGGAAGTGCTCATCACGAACATTGATGTGCTGGTTGACAAGCTCGTAGTCAGCCTTGCCATAGAAGTTGCGGTAGTTGTAGGTCTCACGAGTCCAGCTGTTGAAGTTGGTCTCAGTGGTGTCCTGGTCGCGACCAACGTAGTAGTAGGCAGCCATGATACGTGTTGCGGCATCGTCGAGGCGCCACTGGGGAACGGTGCCGTTGAGAACGGAGATGGTGAGGTTAGTTCCCCAGAAGGAGAAGCCTGAATTAAAGTCAGTGTCTCCAGGCATGGTCATGTCGAGACCGGCCTGAGTGGAGGAGACACCGCCGTGCTGAGCATCCCAATCTGACATAATGAAACCCTGGAAGCCGAGCTCGCCCTTCAGAATGTAGTTCTGGAGGTACGAGTTCTGGCAGACCTGAGAGTTGTTCGCTTTGTTGTAAGAGCACATGATTGAGCCCGTGCCAGCGCGTACAGCATCGGCGAAAGGCCAGAGGTACAACTCGTGCAGAGTCTTGTCATCAACATTGGTGCTGATAGCATCAACAAAGCCAAAGTCCTGGAACTGGCCAGGCGAGCGGAAGTGCTCCTGCTCATTCAGGATGAAGTGCTTGGTGCAAGCGATAACACCAGCGTCCTGGATACCGCGAACGGTCTCGGCAACAGCGTGGCCTGAGAGGTATGGGTCAGGTGAGAATCCCTCCCAGTTGCGACCGCCTTTAGGATTGCGGCCAATGGGGCCAACGACGGGTCCAAGCTGAACATCAACACCCTTGCCGCGGTGCTCTGAGCCCATTTGGTATCCTCGGCGGTAGAACTCACCACGGTCCCATGATGCAGCAACAGTGCCACCAGCAGGGAACGCAGAGACGTAGTCGGCGAAACGAACACCGAGAGGGCTGTCCTGCATACACAAAGCCTTGAAGCCGAGACGGGGAATCTCGCCCACGTTTCCGACACAATTATCACTCTGCCAGCCAGTGCCTGTTGTGAGATTGACCTTCTCGAGAAGAGTCAGTTGGCGAACAAAGGCTTGGGCCTTAGCATACGCTTCCTGATCCCACTGTCAGCGTCCGCAACAAGCGAGGTCAAGGATTGCACTTACAGCCCAGTCACCAGTTCCCTCGATCCACGGACTGGGGTAGAACGGCGGGCTGTCCGCATTGTTCAGAGGACTCGAACTGTTGGTAGGGTTCGTGTTGTTTGGGTACTACTTTGTGTCAGCTTTTGTACACAACAAGCCTGGAGAACCGTGGAAAACAACTTAAAGGTACGGAAATAGACCTGCAAAAAGAAACGCAGTATCTGGTACCATTGCTGCAGCTTCTGCAAAGCTTCAAAGTGCGATTGGCGCTGTCGTGCTGTTGCTAGGATAGAATGTTTGCACGTACCGATTGGGCCTGGACCAAGCCAATGGCCAGTAATGCTTGTGCGAGCGTCCGATGCATGACGTCGACGTTGCTGTCAGGGCGACACTGAAAGCAGCAAGAAATGTGCACACAAAAAATGCAAAGCTACTGGGTTGGTGGCAGGATAGATTTCCTGGAGCGCGCAACGTCAACAGCCGGGTGACATCGAGAGCTTTATGGGAGCTACGACAGGGAGGTAGCTACCAAGCTACCCGTTCATTAGCTCCGTGCGCGTCGAGCGATGCATCTTCCTGCGGGGATGGCCAGCAATGCCCTGCTGATCGCACCACAGTTCCCCCCAGCGACTTGATGGAGCAAGGCCCGAAGCCTCCGGAGTAGCGCGTCCGGCTTTGGCGCCGTCAAGCTCTTTTCCGGCTTCAACGTTTGCTAAGTTCGCGACTCTCCACTTTCCCAAGCCCTTTTCTGCGTTTCCTTGCAGATTTACACAAATGCCGTGGTTACCCCATGTCATGGCGCACCGCCACCGGCAGAAGTAGCTGCTTCCCGCACTCCTTGCGCAGACGGGATCGAAGATTGCAGCTGTCAGGCTTCGGTCGGGTACCTCTACAACAAGAACATCGTCATCTTCTCACGCCACGCCCCCGTCGTGGACTTAGGCTTTCTGTGGCGTCGGCAGCGGCTTGCGAGAGGAGCTTGGTGGGAGTGAACGACGCTGCTTGTGGCGCGCTATCGTCGATAGAAGTGCAACTTCAGCAATGGCGATGCGGGGTCTGTCGCACACCTAGAATCCTTCACGCTGTACTCCACCTGCACCACGTGCTGTTGAGAAAATCTAGCGTTCTGCTTGGAAGTCCGTGATCTGCTGATTGATGGATGTCACTATTGTTACATGCCGGATGATGACACGAATGATGGGGTACCCCACAAGTGCCCATATTGGCGACATTCCGGCTCATCCGTGGGGAAACTTCTCACCCCAGTCCCGTTCTGGTTTTCTTGTTGTGCATCCGCGGCGTAACACCTTGGAGGGATTTTCGGGCGTCACGGGGAGCTTTTGCAGAGGATTCGACTCCAGCCATCTATCGGCGGGTAAGAATACGACCGTACTGCGGCATTATTACGAGTAAGTTTGGCGATGTTGTAACTTAAGGGTGCTGCATATCGCCGTTGTCCGTCACGCCAGCCCAAAGCTTTCACCTTGGCTGTCAGTGCGAGCGGTGAGTAGTCGAGATTCTGTGCACGTGCGTGAATCTGGATATGCTGTGGTCATCGTATCACCGATACATGGTCGTCAAAATATGGGAACATCCACTCCTCGCCTGCTCTGGTAGACACGCGCGCCTGTGCAACGGAGCTAACAAGAGGCTCTTGCACAGCTTTACGGAGGCCAGCTCTCGTGGCTGACGGCACCGTTACACGTCCAACGCCGATCGATCCCAATTGATTGCATGCTAAAATCGCTCTTCAGCTCAGCCGCACTGCGTGTCGTGTACCTTGAGCCTGGGAGTTACTTTTCCTGGGTCCTGACAAAGCACATGCAGATGTGAACCGAACGTGATAAATCACCCACCAAGGTCTTTAAAATATCAGTCTTGTCGTCCACCCTTGACGTGCCGCCTCTTGTGTAAAGTTTTGCTTCCAAAGTTGCACAAGGAATCGACAGCATTATCCAGCAGCCAACTTACATGATTCCAGGACAACGCCACATAGTCAACTGTTTATGGTACACCTCACCTAGGCCTCAGACTTACCTTTTCGACAAATTCGCTAGAAATCTGGTTGAAACATCGACTTTTTCGCTCAGCTCCCCTTCGCATCTCAAAGCTGCGCCCTTCATATAATCTAGGGACATTCACGGTACCATGCAGCCTAACTTAGAATGGCGAGGTCGATCGATCATGAGCCAATAGGGCTACTCAGATGATCAACTGTGCCTTTTAACTAATATTTACCACACCCAGGAGAACGTACAGATCGGATTGGACCCAACAGAAATAGCCAATACAGCAGTCTTTAATCACTGGTGATTTCTTTGCAGACGTCGTCAGCGGGTGGTCACACCGGCAGCAGGACGCCTCAACCTTCTACACAACGAACGAACATCTTCAAACACAGACCTAAGCACCGTGACACTGTCTCGTAAGTACGGATCCTTGATAGACTCTGGCCAATGATGCTCACTGTAGCGCAAGGCTGCCTGCAGGCAACACCGCCCTAAACTCTGAGTCAACAATGAACACATCTTCTTGAGTCAGTTTTACGCTGTCAAAACATTTGCTTAAGAGGGTTGTGAGCACTTACTACTCACCTGGAAGTAAAGTGTTCATCTCGTCATGGGTTCTCGCTCAACCAAAGTTGCGGCGGCCCCGCACGTGAAGGCTGCTGCCTCACCGGTCGCACCTGCTCAACAGCATCACGAAAGAGGCAACCACACAAACGAAGCTGGACCCGTTGCAGTTTCAACACAGCCTTGCGACCTCAACGTTCCACCGCGAACAACCACCACCTCAACACAGCGGTACAGTGAGCCAGCGCAGACAGCAGTTATGGCTACCGAACTGAACACGGAAGGTGTACGGCACCTGGACGCCTTCGAGAGATTTCTTGCCGAGCGCGACCTGATGGCAATCGGTATGGACTATACAGCGCTCGTCAGTCCAGTTCCGATGGAGCAACTCCCAATGCTGCATCTACCTGTACCATCAGAGTCGCAAGGGCTCGAAGAGCCAGAGGTACAATGCATAGCTTGCTGCACGCAGCTACCAGAAGAGAATGATTCAATGTATGCGCAAAAGGTTATCAAGCCTTGCCGAGCATGCAACAGCGCGTACTGTATCTCATGTGTCAAGAACATGTTCCTCGACGCATGTAAAGACTCAACTCGAATGCCGCCACGCTGCTGCACGCAAATCCATGTTCACCACATGAAGTCCCACCTGACTGCTGGGGAGCTTACCGAGTACAAAGCGAGATACGAGGAGTGGAGCACACCAAAGCCATTCTACTGCCCAGTACCAACTTGTTCGACATTCATTCCGGAACGGCTACTACCACAGCAGGCAGGAACGAAAAGGGAGCAGAAGGTGGACTCTAGTGTTGAGACACCAACCTTGCCTACTTTCCAGTGCCCCAAGTGCGAGGGCGGAATCTGCACTGACTGCCGACAAGTAGTCCACCCTAACAGCCTCTGTGCAAGTCTGGATCTTGGAGTCGATGCAGATACCGCAGCCCTTCTCAAAGCATGGGGATACAAGCGTTGTCCAAAGTGCAGCCAAGGACTGAAGCGAATGTATGGTTGCAATCACATGAAATGCAGGTGTGGCGCGCACTTCTGCTGGGGTTGTATGAAGAGCAGAGATGATTGCGAAGGAGGTTGCAATGAGGATGAAGATGAAGAATTCAGCGGCTCTGAACCAGATGAACCTGAACCAATTTCGGGATCTGACGACGAAACAGCAGTAGGAACACAGATCACAACCTCCGAGACAACAGAGTCTGTTACAAAAACACTTGAATCAGATTCAACAGGGACCACTTCCAAGCATGCCCTCCGTCCACGGAATCTCGACGGTGGTGCAGCTCACTATTGGGAGCAGCAAGATCTGGACTTTGGCGAAGAGCCCACGGGCGATGTTCAAGACAAGTTCTGGGAGTGTCATCATGGATTCGAGCCTTACACTATCTCACTCACAGAGGCAATTTTAAAACACCCGTCGATGCTCGAAATGGAGTGCGTGAAGTGCTGGCGTGCTATACAACCTGACATCGACACTCCGCCCAAGCCAAAGACTGCCCCAGAGCCAGCAAAGATTCCACAAACTGGCGTTATCACAAGACGAGGTAGCCCAAATCGCGTCCGCGGTCGTGGTGCTCGTGTTGGTGGACGTGGTACCGTAGCCCGACTTCGTCCTGCAGCATACGTGCCTCCACGCGGCCTGATGCGATCAGATGCCACTGTTGGTACTGCACCACATCTAACCGTACAACTGCTACATGTTGCCGGACCCTCTTCACGGCTGCGTGGCGATCCAATGGAGGACGTACAGTCCGAAATAGACGATGATAAAGAAATCGTCTTGGAGCATCAAACTTCGAACATCTTCAGCACCCCTTCCATTACATTCAGCATAGCACAAGAATGCCACAGCTGCAGCCTACTAGTCTGCAAAGGCTGCGCAGACTTATTGCTAGCCCAACGAGAGGCCGAACGCGCAGCACGAACCGCAGACTTCGAAGCTCGTCAAGCAGCACTCATCGCTGCTGCAGCCGCCACAAACGCTCAAGGGTCGAATGAGGCCCAAGAGTCGACACAGGTACCAACTTCACCCAGCCTCGACGGGCAGTCGCCTCCTTTGCTGCTCGACTGATCGATTCCCAGCCTTACCGTGGGGCCCCCAGGGGGAGATCGGCTGCACGTCATGTCTGGGAGGAAATCTTGCTCGTGGAGTTTCTGTTACTTCAAGCTGCGGTAGTGTATTTCATTGCGGGATTCATTACATGTTTCATTAGAGAGGTCATTGCGAATGAATTTGGCATTGCCAGCATGGCGAGGCTTTTTAACTGTTCTTCGATTTGCACGACATGGCTAGTTGGTAAGTATGTTCTTGAACGACACATTTGTTTCCCGTGAAGTGCTTCCTGTCTCCACAACACATATTCGTGTTTCAGAGCCTTCGTTTCACCTGTTCTTTTCCGTAGCATATGCGATTGGTATTAATCTACCTCTGTTCGACTGCAAGTAGACTGTCGTTTCCCTCCACTACATGTCCCAACTCAGACACGCATGATCCGTATCTTGGTCAGCGCGATCTGCCAACTTTCTCCAGCGACGCTGTATTGTTTCAATTTGCAGCGTGAATCTGTGTGCAGTCTTAGAGAGAGAATTGAACAGGTAACAGGAGTGACTGTAGAAGGGACTAAAGACAGGACTGTTAAAAAGATGCAGCATGATTTTGACTTCGAGATTTGCAGGGAGATGGAACGATGAGTGATCATGCAAGCAATTTTCATCTAGATCAAGAAAACATAACGACCCCGAAGGTGACCGAGCCGTGGACCAAACACAAGTAAGGGATTCACCGCAAGTGGAGAGATGTAAACACCGATTAGATGGGAAGATTTTCCTGCCGTCCTTCCGTTTTAGAGAATCCTTATATGGTGTTCAGCTCCTCCGTTCAATCGTCCATTCGTCAGATCGCCTTGTTGTCGTATCATTGAGACGTCGTCGGGACGAACGTCAAGCACGAACTTGTGAAGGTGCGCACTTTGTCGACGCAGTGTCGAGAGGCGTCTATGCACCGAGGCTGGGGAATGCGGAGGAGTCGTTGACGTTGACGTTAGCAGCGCCACCGCGGCCACCACGGGGACCAGCAGCACCACGGCCCTCGCCACGACCACGTCCACCACGGCCCTCACCGCGAGCACCGCGGTCACCACCACGGCCGCGACCCTCGCCGCCACGGAACGAACCACGGCCCTCGCCGCGGCCACGGCCACCACGGTCACCACGACCACGGGAACCACCCTCGCGGGGGGGGGGAGCGAGCATGCGGTCGCCGTCGAGCTCGACGTGAACCTTCTCCTTGCGCTGGCGCTCACGCTTGGCTTTGCCGCCGGAAGCGGCGAAGAAGTCCTCCTCCTTGCGCTCGACCTGGGTACCCTCAGGGAACTGCTTGGAGCTGCCCTCATTGGCCTTGCGGAGGTTCTGCTCGCCAAGCTTCAGCTTCTTCTCAGCCAACTCGGCAAGGTAAGCGGTGTAGGACTTGGAGTTATCCTCGGGCTCAGGCTCAGCGACCTCAGCCTCAGCGTCCTCCTTGACAGCCTCCTTCTCTTCCTTCTGGGCGATGGCCTCACCGGCCTGCTCGTCAGCAAGCTCGGCCTCGCCAGTCTCGGCACCCCAGCCGTGGGCGGCCTGCTTCTCGTGCTCGCTGTGGAGTGTTAGATATATGGTCCAATTCATTGAGATCGTATACCGTACCCAAGACCGGTCCTGGAGTGACGGTCGCCGTCGGCGCGGGCTGGACCACCACGGCCGCCACGGGCACCACCGCGAGAACCACGTCCGCGACCACCACGGCCACCACGCTGCTGCTCAGGCTCTGCACAGAATCAGTAGAAGTTGGGATCGATGATTTGATGTCTACTCACCGCCAGAACCGCGTTGACGGTTGCTGCTGGCGCCGACACCGCGATCCCTGAAAGCTGTATGCTATCAGTCCATGCTCGTTTGACGTCCTCTGTCCCCGTTTTGCCTCCTCTTGGAGAATATCAATCTCGACGTACCGTTGTCGTTGGCGTTGCTGTTCTGCTTAGCGCGGCTCTGGTTGCCCTGGCGCTCGACAGGAGGAGCAGCCTTGACGTCGGAGCCGTCGCGCTTGCCGTGCCTGGGAGCGGCCTTGTCGATGGCCTTTGTTGGTGGCTCAGCAGGCCTATTGGGGTCGAGCTCCGGGTCGTTGCCTGCGGGGTCGTGAGCGAGTTTTCGCAAGCGGTGAACTTCGAACTAGCATACCCAGCAACTCGTACATGTTCTGTAATCGTTATTAGCTATTGCTTGTTGGTAGAGGTATTTGCAAGCGCCCCATTGAGGCCTGTACTGTGGCGCGGGGCTGCAGCGGACGCTTGAGGGCAGGTGCAAGCTTACCTTGGAAGCAATTGTCGTCATCTTGATGGTTTAGAGCGCCTTGTGCGCTTTGCCCTCTTAGATGCGCAATCTGCCGGGGTGAAAAGAAAAAATGCGAGAGTTGACCCTACGGTTCTAGGGACTGGACTCTCGGTGGTGGCTCTCAAACGAGGTGTTGACGCTGGTGGAAGCACGCTTGCAAGCCAGGCAAGAATTCGTGTGGGTTGGTTCGCTTAGTCAATTACAAGGTGGGCGGGGCACGGGCCAGGGCGTACTTCAAATGAGAGCGCACGACGCTGCGAATACTTGCACATGTACCGTCAATTGGCTTCTATACTACTTCTAATTCAAGTTGCAGGGTGCTACAAGGGTCCGTGGTTGCCTGTGCGGCGTCAGACGTCGCTGCCTCAACATCTGGCACATCTCGCTTAATCGAGACAGCTTGGACTCGAGCTAACGTCACCCCGAGGCTCGTGGTGTATGTCTTTGTTGCGCCCTTGCTTGGACGTTGAGCATTGGCTTCGGTATTTATGTATGTACAAGGCAACAGTCGGTCTCCAGATCACTTGACCGACTGCGCCGTAGAAGGGCTTTGCTTGATCCCTTCTAGCCAGTCCGGTCGTATTTCCCTCAAGTAGAGAACCGTGAACAGCTTGATCCAGCCTGAACACACCCAGATAAATGCTCCTCCCAACTCACGAGGAAGAGCTACCCAAAAGGCTCAATTCCTTGTCAAAAGTGGTGGTGTAACCATACAGCAAAGAAATGTCTATGACACCCATAAAGAAAAACAATGATAATGGCTAGTATCGAATGAGATCAAACTTTTGGGAATGGTGCCAGGTCTATGGCCACCGGTTGCCGTTATTGAAGGAACGCCGTTATGATGCCTGACGATGTCGAAGCCAGTCGTGACGCCCGCTAAAGAACACATTAAAAACGTATCAGTTGGTAAGCTTCCAGATGTTGAAGGTAGGTGTCCTATATACCCTCCTCTTGGCCTAATCATATTCATCCTTGCGTCGATCATCTCGATTCATACATGGTGGGGAAGTGCATGCTAGCAGAGAGCCCGAATGGATCTGCGTCCAGCATCGGATCGTAGGGGTCGAAGAGGTGGTTCATGTTGTTGTTGTTGAATGGCTGGGTGCCATCGTTCGGTGCCAGCGTGGCTGGGCTTGCGAATGGTGGGTTTTGCGCAGGCGGCATGGGTGGTGGCATGCTGTTCGACGGCGGGAAGCTGTGGTGCGGGAAGGGTCCGGGGCCGGCCGGCTGATCGCTTGGTTCCTCGTGGTCGTAATTGTCTGCTTGCTCATCGTACTCCTGCTCTATACGCCAATCAGCCTAGGATTACTAGGTCCTATACCTACGTGTGGGCAAGGAAATTTAGGGGTCAGCTTGCCTAGTTGGTTCATGTGGTCCGAGTATTGAGACTGGTAGAAGGAAGAGGGACCGCTGCTCTGAGTTATTCCATTTGTATTAGCACCAACAGTTGATGCTCCCTGTACGCCATTGGGAGGCCCTTGATTTGTGATTGACCGTTGTGGGCCTGTCATCATGGGATTGAACTGGGATCTAGGTGGCTGCGGGCGTAATTGCTGCTGCTGGGGCGGGATAGGCCCAAAATTGGGAGACACAGAATGACCTTGAGGCATGAAGTTGGGCGAGCGCGCAGCTGATACAGCGGGCGAGGACAAGTGGGAGCCTGGTGTAGGCTGCGATAGTGGTGATCGTTGGATAGGCCCATCCGGTTGTATCATAGGCAAGCCATTGGTACCATCAGCCTTCGATGGTCCCTGCAACGATCGCCTCTGTTGCTGTCTATTCAAGATAGCACGTTGCTGAAGCGGTGGCTGATTCGGAGACGTGTGTGCAGAGACCGCAGGCCTGATGGGGCCTAGGTTTGGACTGCCAGTCTTCGCGCGCAACTCAGCCTGGACGTCGATGCCTGGTGGAGCATGGGTTAGCGTGTGTCGGCATTGACCTGGCTGATAAGCAATTGGTACCTTTCTCTAGTAAGACTCTCTCCAGTAGAGAGTTCTTATACCGGAGCATAAGACATTCGTCAGCGGCGTTGCGGTGACTGTTCTGCAGATTCTGCAGCGTCTCTTCATGGTGCTTGATCGTGCTCTCCAGCTGCTTGATGTACTCGGTTCGTCGCTCGCGGAAGGCCGCCTGTGCTTGTCTATTGCGCTGCTTGCGCTCCTCCGAGGTGGCATAAATCTTACGACGCTTGATTAGTCCAATTCGTGACATGTCATACGGTTGCGCAATTGCGGCGCTCATGATAGGCAAGATAGTGCAATTGCAGGATTATGGAGAGGCTCACGGGTTTGCGACCGCCTTTGCGCTTCTGCTGCTGCGGGTTGTCCTGGGTATATGTCTCCGCCTGGCCCGGCTCGGGTGAGTCTTCGATAGAGGACGTCGAGCCTTCGCGCGGATCCTCTGCCTTTCCCACGGGGGCCGTCATAGCTGTTACGCTATTATCTCCCATCTGCGTCCACCGTACCCCTCCGATCTGATAGAGGGGCACAGGAGCGCCAAGGAGCAAGATAGACGCGACAGTGAACAGGCGTTACTTGCGGAAAGAGGCTCTGTATCGGCTAAGCGCGCGCTGGGGTAGACTGCCGCAGCACCGGGTCGAGTAGCGATTGCGTTTGTATGGGGGTTTGATAATGTCTGATAAGAATCCAAGGAGTCGAGCGCTGTGGGTGGCCGCGCAGATGTTGTGAGGTAAGCTCTTGGGTAATGGAAACGAAAAAGGGCCAGCGGAGGGCGGAGGTGCTGGACTTCAAAAGGCGCGGGGCGGACCACGTCCAGTTCACGGTGCCGAGCGCTGCTTCAGTGTGCTTGAAGATTCATCTGCAGAGGACAGCAAATGGTAGCGAATTGCAACCGAGCGCCACTCCTGGGCGCCTGCACAGGCTGCACTTGACTCTGGCCAAGGCGTGCGGAGATGCGGTTGGCGGACCAGCTCAAAATTTTCTGCGCGGGGTGTGCGCTGCATCACAGGGCGCATCACCACTGCCCTCGAGCAACAGTGCATCGTGGAGGAGCCGTACAAGGCAGGGACAGCCGATACGAACGCCAAAGCTGTATGCAGCATAGCTAAGCTCTAGCTCCCGCGCCACCAGGCAGAGTTTGTTGAGCATCTCCGGCATGTTCAGCAGGGCCGCGCGAGCCTCATCTTTATCAGGACCGGCTGCCTCCCCTGGATGTCACGGATGTTCGAACACTATCATTGCGTGCGTCATGCATCGATCACGAACTTTTTGCATCATCCCACGACAACCCACTGTTGAAGCCGAGGAGCTGCTACGGAACGGCTGAACCACCTCGGGTGGCCTTGCTCCCTGCACCGAGGCCACGCGCTGTAAGACGCGGAAGCTTCGCCATGAAGTCACTGCGTGCTGATACCTGGCTTTGGCGTCGTAAGGCTGACGATTGAGCAATCTGATCTGAGGCTGGTGGCAGAAAAAGCACCCAAGCAAACTTGCTCTGAAGCCTCTCGCCCAACAATAACAACCATTTCAGCTTTCATCAGGCTTGCACGGCTTGTATGTTTAGTAAGCATAAGACAGGACTTGGTAATTGAACCTACAAAAAATCATGCACGAACACCGAGAACGGCGCAGACACCACAGGGGCTGGTCACGAGGAAGAGCTTGGTCTGCACCCCGCTTAAACGGCGCCAGCACGCGCAGGCTCCTGATTCGCAAGCAGCCGTAGGGCAGTCTACCCGACACGTCCGTTGCTGAAAATTCGCACTTTGGAACCACTCTTTGCAGGTCTCTCGCCTTAGAGGAATACCCGTGCTGCTATCCCAATTTGGCAAATAAAGGTCATGCGCCGCACCTCTCGAGAACAGCTGACCTTGACAGGGTCCACAGGTCGAGGCCGAGACTCGTGCGAGACTGCTGGTCTTACGTCCAATGTATCCGCCATGGTGCGTCGTGATGTTGAAGGGCCGATGTGTGTCGACAGCTTCACTGCGCTGCTTGGCGGCGAGTTGAAAGGGGTGAGTCTGGTGAGGCGGAAAGACGGATGGACCAAGCAATTCTGCTACGTCCCAAAGCAGCGAAAAGCAGCGAGAAGGTAAGGCGTTGCAGATGTATCGGCTGTGCAGTCGAATGTTTGCATGAAGAATGATAAGGCCACAAAGATTTTGAGAAGGCAAGGCTTTCTTTGTACGACACTAGCCGGTAAACAACACCATTTATCAACCTTCACCATGGCGAACAAATGGAACATAGTACACTGCACTCAATAACTGATGCTTGTTCTTGCGGACCGAAGTAAATGCTCCTTGAAAACACTGTTGTCGATTGCTTCAAGCTTCCTTCCTTCTTCCAGTCATGTCTCTGCACGCGTCTCGACTTCCTCCTTGCGAGATGGTTTTGACCGCACTTACCATGCGCTCAAGAACCTGACATTCGACGTTCGCGACGATGCAAAACACCGCCATGCACACCTTAGTCGACAGACCTCACCCTCCTCCAGGATATAGAGCATCGAAATAGCTCACATGACTTTTCTCCTGCTTTCAACAGTAACGGATACCGCATCAATCACACGGTCAGCATCATACCCTTAGTCGCCAGCTTCCTAATTGGTCGTCGCGACACTGCCATTGCAACACTGGGGCAGGCTGCAATGAAATTGGCTGAGCTTGCTGGACGGCTGTTGAAGGGGTCAGGTCACTCGCAGGCACAGCCAGGCGACGGATCATACTCCGAGACTCGACCTTCGTTCGAACGAGTGAGCGGCTCATCTTTTGCAGCGTCACCCGAATTGGGCGTCAGTGGAAGTGCCAGCAGTGAAGGCATGGTTAACAGCGCCTTCGGAGAACTCAGAGCGCCATCTCTGCACGCACCCTCGTGGGCAAAAGCTCGACCTCTCTCCGATATCCGCGAACTTACCGAACCGAGTCTGGCAGATACAATACCGCGAAGACTTCTCTCAGATAATAATCTGCCTCGCAGCTTATCTCGACCAGAGTTGTCACGAAAACAGTCTGCCGCATCAAGGCGCCGGCCGAGTACAGACACTCGATATGGTGAGAATCGAGAACCGGACAGGAAGAATAGCGTCGACAGCAATGGGGGCAGATCTATGTACCGAGGTCGATCCTCTAGAACACCTTCACCACCGAGTCCTGCGGACAACAGCAGCCTTTCCAGTATATACAGCATTCCACCTGGCAGTGTCCCACCCCGATCCTCCTCGCGTACGCGTGCACGTAGCGAATCTCGACCTCGACGGGCACATGCAGCGCAACAATTCTCGACAACCCAGCGGCCTCCTGCAAGTATTGCAACACACACGATACCTACGATACCACGGCCTCCTTCGAGAGGCGCTGGCCATACCATACCTCGACATGGCCAATCCCTATCCCCTTTACGCCATGTCGCTACTCGAATAGACCATACATCGTATAACAATAATCGATGCATACCTTCCAGAACATTCATCCGCGAACCTCTGTCGAAAGAACTTCTCGAGTTTCCCTCGCATCGCCATCCTCGCATTGAGCTGGGACTAGACCTGTCAGCAAGTATATTTGTCGGTGGTGGATCGATTGAGGGGACCGTTCAGATCAACATTGACGATGCTGAGCGAATTCGCCATAGAAGGACGCTGGACATTGCTCGAATATCTATCGACTTGTTGGGTATAGAGGAAATGAGTGGGAGCAGACGCTCTGTCTTTCTCAATCTTGCTACCGAGCTGATCGACGAGGATCACCCGCCACCGTCACACATGGTCTACGATCAGAAACCTATCAGCTCTAACGATTTGTTCTGGCACTTGATGCCCTCCTTCACCAACCTGGCGTTTAGTCTGAGCCTGCCGCTTAATGTTGGACCGCCACCTTTTCATTCAAAGAACGCCCGCATTCGATATGCATTGTGCGTCTCGCTGCTCATCCGTGACCACGGCAAGCAGTACATCGTCAGAACGTCGGACGACGTTACTGTCCTATCAGTCTACGATCGTGAGTCTTGTCCTGACCTATAATTTCCGGGGATGCTAACCTGTTCGAAGCCGAAAAAGCCCTCATGTCACTCCCCAGCCCTCTCACTGCCTCAGATGAGTGGGTCAAAATCCGCGACACTTCACTGGATGTTGTAAAAGTTACAGCGGGCCTGCACAGACAGGTCTGGGTCAGCGGCACCAGCATCTATGTCGATGTACACATTATGAACAACAGCCGCAAAGCAATTAAGAAGATTGAACTACAACTGGAGCGAGATATCCTATGTTACAAACACGTTTGTCCGACAGTATTCCAGGGTCTTCCAGCGTTGTGCTAATGACTCTTGGTGTAGGCTGCGGCGTCAACCATGGAGAAGTCTGCAGGTCAAGCACGAATCTTTGACAACAACGAGCGCTCGATCCTCAGTAAGAGCTCTGTGAAGCAGGGCGCTGCCGGATGGCATGGTGTACCTTCTCACCAGACACATATTCGCACTTGCGATCTCGAAGTGCCCCGCGGACATGCCACAGTGAAGTGCGGTATGTGGTCGCCGCTACGCTGGCTGTAGTAGTGACTGACAGACCAGGCAAATATTTTGAAGTCCGTTACTTCTTGAATGTCATCGTTGGCAGCGCCCATACGTAAATCTCCGAGAACCTCACCTGTCTCGGCCGCAGCTCACCTTGTACAGAAAACTCGTCACTGTTCAATTGCCGATCGTACTGATTCACATGGTGAGTATCTTTCCGTTGGTGGAAAAGTGTGTGCATAGCTGATACTCTCAGAATTCCCTTGACGTTGTGCCAAACTCAGTCGCGCAAGTAGCTATGGCCATAGAGGAAAAGCGGACCGCACACACATACCAACGCGGCCACTCTCCATCACAGCTGGGTCGCAAGCGCTCACAGTCTGTCCAAGGCCGCGCATTTGCTGCGCCGCGAATGCAGTCGCTCGATCGAATGCGAGCACAAGTGGAAGATCTCCAAGAGCTCGGCGAGACACTCGATCATAGTCCTCGCAAGTACGCCATCCGGCGCATGGACTCGAATTGGGATTATCATACGCCGCCTTCCAATCGCAAGGGCAGAGTCGTCGAAGATGGTGTAGCTGCAGAGCTGCAGGACAGGTTGCGGAGAGTGCGCTCGAACGAGACTATAGGTTCCAAACAGCAGACTTTGAACCGGGGCAACTCATCAAAGTCGAAGCGTGCCCAGTCAGCACTCGGATTCAGAGAGGCTGAAGTTCGGGATGACATGGAACTCGCAGGTCTAGGTATATCTGGTGAAGGCCCTTTCAAGCAACGACTGGAAAGAAGTCGCTCGCGACAATATCAATTCGTCAAAAAGAAGAGCGTTGAGAGATGGAAAGGCGTGGCCTCTTCCGGTGTGGGCTGGCTCAAGGGCAACAACGGCGGCAGCAAGGATGAAAGGGTGCGAGAGGATTGGGTTTGACCCTTGCAACGCCCTTTCGCTGAGCGTGTTTTTCGTGCATACAGTGCATTGAGAGCATTTGGATACAACCATTGTTATGTTGTACTCACCACCTAATACTCCATCTACAGGCTGCTTTGCAATCGAGAACAACCAGGTCTCCATTCACTAACGACAGCCTGTTCTTGATAATCCACAAACCAGCATAAGAGGCTTCGATACGACGTTGCCGAACATCCAGCTAAAGGGCCGAAAGGATCACATGACTTACCAGCCAACTTCGTCATTGCGTCTGGACGTCTCGACCCAGGAACGCGGCTTGCGACGTGCACCTTCCATCGCCAACCTCCCCAATGACAACTCTCCCAATTTGGCAGCCAAGATGATGTTGATGGATGGTTGCATCATGTCAGCGTGTTGATGACGCACTAGGATCAACAAACGCGTTCGGCGAGCTTTGAGCTTGATGGCAACAAATGAAGGGCCACGATCCCCCAAACGCTGGCATGCCCCGGATCGAGCGTCCGCCCTGCGTAACTGCAGGGAACATCGTGCTAAGGGGGCTTGGTGTCCACGGGGGTTCGCTGGCTTGCGAACGCTCCTCGCTGACGTGCAATGCAAGGTTGGGCTTGCCGTTTCGTTTGAAAGGGTGGGTGCGTCAGGAGTGAGGTTGAAGAGTGCAACTGTTTGGATCGAGGTGTTTGTGAGGCGGCGCAGGAAACAAAGAAAGTGCTGCGAGGCTATCTCGAGAAATTCCAGCCAACAAACAAATTCTGCTCCAGCTGTCAGATGTCAACAGGCGTTCATTCTCTCGCCGCAATTGTCGAAAATGCACTATCGCCTCGCACACGTGACCGGTCATCAGCGACGCGCACGGATATGCATTACGAGAGTAATTTCGGGGCGCAATTGCAGCTCGACGTCTGCGGCTCTTGGACTATCTTATCCCTATCGATAGCTCACCGCGTTCGACAGCGCGCGACAGTTGACGTCGTTTCGTCTCGTCTTCTGCAGGAGCTTGCGCTGCGATTTTGCGTTCGACGCCAATCGGTCGCGTCACTGAAAACAAACACCGGCACGTCCCAGTGTAGGAGCCACCGCGGTGCGCGGCCCACTTACCCAACCCCATCACCTGCGAACGCACCGACGCCACCTGCCACTTTGCGCCAACCTCAGTAATTCTCGACACACGCATCGCACATTCTAGACGGAAAGTGGACATTGACAGCAGAGGTAAGCAGGTTCCTTTGGTTGTGGTGGAGGGGTATCGACGTCAAGGACTCGTGCCGTGGCTGCTGAGAGTCGGGCGGGCGCAACCCCTTCAGGATGCGCCTCGTTTGTTCGCAGGCATGCGCGTCGAGTACGAAGGAGTCGCGTCGCCTGTGTCGTGATGCAGCCGGCCCTATTTGGTAGCGACTGCCCGCAACATACGACCCTCAGCAACGGCGACTGGACAGCTGGTCTGGTTGGTCCTGCAGCCAACCATGGTTGCCAGCATGGCAACGAACAGCAAACATCCATAAACAACCAGGACGCTCGCTAATTCCCACTTTCTTCAGTCGCCTGCGCCCATGCAAGATGCCGCCGCGAGTTGGACTCCGTTCCCGCCGGGAGCCTGACGCCCAGCCGCAGTCCGATGCAGACACAATAGCGACACCCTCGCGAAAACGCAGACGCGTAAGTAGTTCCGTCCGTAAACAAACATTCAGGCGTTTTTACTCACTGGACCAGCTCAACGGCAACGAGCCCACAGCCGCAGCGGCCGACCCTCCACGCACACGCAGAGACGAGTCAGTCGCCAGCAATGACAGTAACACCACACTACCGAATGCCGATGACGAAGACCCCGTGGAGAGGCAGAATCGAATAATTGCCGCCCTCTGTGTTCCCTCGAACTACACGCCAAACGCCGCCGTCGACTACGCCAACGACCTGCAAGCCCGCAAAAATCAGGGCCATAACATTGCCGCTTTTGCGAAAATAGCAGCTCGCGACTGGTGCTTTTTCGTGCAGGAGACTCGGATCCTTATTGGGCGTGCAGACTCGTTGATCCGTCCACAGCCGCCCAGTTCAGAGGCGAACATCCCTGGTCACCCGCAGAGTGAAGCCCATTCAGTCTCGAACTGGGGAGTGCACATCGATTTGGGCCCTGAACGACAAGTCTCGCGCGTACACGCCGAAATCTTCTTCGACTCAGCGGATCAGGGCTGGTACATCATCGTGAACAGCCGCAACGGTCTTAAGCTGGACGATGTGCATGTGACGAGAGGCCAGACGGAGTTGCTGCATAGTGGTATCTGTATTAGTATTATGGGCACCCAGATGTTGTTCCTTCTGGCCAATCAAGAGGATCACTTTCATCCAATGCTTCTACGACAGGCGAACGGAGAAGAGGCCGGAGAATCTGGAGACGACGGCAACCCACCCTCGCGATCGAACCACAACATACCACCAAGCGGACCCACACCGAAACGCGAGCAGTACGATCCATTTCCACCCTCGTCACATCCACGAAATCGCGAGAATAAGCACCTGTCTTCGCAGGCCTGCTACAACCAGATGACTTCCACTCCCGGTCGCCCACCGCCAGGTACTCCTTTAGCTTTCCAGCAGGGGACCGGCCAACTCAGCAGCAAAGGCTCTCCCGCCACCTTTTCTCGAGGTGTCATGATTGACTCGGCCGACGAAGTCGACTACAGCCATGACCAGGCCAAGGACATCAAACCACCATACAGTTACGCACAGCTAATTGGACAAGCCATTCTGAGTAATGACGAAGAGATGCTGACCTTGGCAAACATCTACGACTACATCAAGTCACGATATGCGTTCTTCCGGTTCACCAATGGTGGATGGCAGAACAGCATCCGTCACAACCTATCCCTGAACAAGTCGTTTGAAAAAGTTGCACGCCGAACCGACGAGCCTGGCAAGGGTATGAAATGGAAGATCGCAGATTCAGAACGCGAGGAGTTTATCAGGAAGCAACTGCTAAACCCGCGCAAGGGTGGTGGAATAGCTATTGGCTTTCGACCTGACGGCTCTGGACCTAGCTCGCCTGCGCTCGGTAATCCATCTCAGGCTACAGAGCGACTGATCGGCGCTCTTGATCGCGGACACCCCATTTCTCGAATGAAGTCACCCCCCCGTTCTGCGACACCGCCTCTTTCCTCAGTCCCTGCACCCAACGAGTCGTACACTCCTGATCGTGGATCCCGTCCGTTTGGTGCCCTCAAGCAATCACCCAACGTTCGGGAGATGAACCACTTCGTCACACCCGCTAAGCGCCTCGTATACGGTGGTAATGATGGACGCCATCCTCCATACATCAAGACTGAAGAGCCCAGATCACATCTCGAATCATCACCCAACATGGATCCTGTCAAGCCAATGGTCCAAGGTCTTGGTTTGACTGGTTTGAAGAGCGAAGCAGCGAACTCACCTCCCACGCTTTATTCGGATGCCACGACTAGCAACATCCAGGGTAACCATGATGCAAGCCGAATGAACAACGCCCTTGTAACACCACTCGTAACTCGCCATGCACCTCGTCTCGCACCTCCCAGTACTGCGCAGATGCCCAGCCAGTACATGAACTTCTCTAGTCCGGCACCTTTCTGGAAATTTGTCGACCTGCCCAGCACGCCCGCCAAGTTCCCTATCGATCTTAGCCCAACTAAGATGCATCATGATGAGAAAGACGAAGAAGATGCTCAGCCTAGTTCGCCTCCGATGCTCCCCGACGAGGATCGAAGCGTTGAACCCGAGGATCAGGACGCGTCTGACGACAAGCCGGGTGATGATGAAGATGTTGGGCCAGAGAGCCCGAGCCGCACTGTCAGCCGGCCAGTCAGTCGCCGCGATCTTGGCGGCAGCCAGCGGAGCAGGAGCAATTCTAACGTCAACGTTCTTGGCCCAAGTGGATTGGGCGGCATGGTCAGAGGTGCTAGCCTCAATAGCTTTGAGGAGCAGGACGAGCCGGAGGATGAAAGCTATGATCTGTCGAAGTAAGTTACTCGTTGAGGTCGTAGAGAGTAATCTGCTAACCACCCACCAGGGGCTTCCAGAAGATTGGCTCGTTCCACCACAGCATGGCGCAGGCACACGGTGTTGTCGGTCGCTCTGCTATTTAGGAAAATTCCGGAGCGAGAAACGTATTCTTTGTGGAGCCTCATTGGAGGAGCGAACAATATGTATGAGAAGACCACCTCTACCATGCAAATAAGCAGCTCGGCACTATCGATAAGCGCTCAGCCACTCGCATCCCGTTCAGGAGGGTGAGGACTGAGTGGAATTAATGGTAGAGCAGGGGGCCCCAACGGTGCCAGATACACGGTACGCATACGTAAGGTGTTGTATACTCTACGAGTACATGGTTTACAGTACTGCTTCACACTATGGCGTATGGGATAGCACGATTGCTTATGATGACATGATATGAGATGATTACTGTTGTATGCTGCTATGACGCCGCATTGTACGGTTACGGATGAGGACAGGAAAAGTATAATTGAAATTCATTGCATTTGGATCTCTCAAACCGTCCAGCTTATCATGTTCAGTTGATATACACGGTGGTGTCTGCTCCTCGCTCCTCTCCCAGTCTTCTGGCGGAACAGTCTAGTTGATCTCCTTGTGCGGGAACCACTTAGACGGCTTGAGGTTCTTCTCTTCCAGAGGCGCATCGAGCACGCCCAATCTCCGTATCTCACCGGCTGAGGGCGCGTCGTCGCGCTTTATGTTTGCTTCGGCTTTGCGGTAGGCGGCTTGGAGGGCAAGGGTGCGGGCAGCCTTTGATTACGTCAGTCTTGTCTTCCCATGATGTGGATAGGAGCGCTCAATGCATGTGCAGTGGTGGGAAGGGTGTAATCTCAAGAGCAGGGAGTACGTACCTCCTTCTTGTGGTGCAGGCACTCGTAGTAGTCCTCAAGGACGGGCACACATTTCGCCTTGCCGCTGTCGTCCTCGGCGTTTGTGTTGGTCACGTAGCAGGCGAGGACTTCTTGCCAGAAGGGGAAGCAGCGCGAGGGGCCTGATTACGCTTGTCAGTATGGGGTTCGCGAAGCGCGCGAGGATGTGAGCTGAGCGAGGAGCGGCTTTGGAGGCGTGCGAGATTGTGAGCGCGGCGCAATCAGATGTTGCTGAGTAACGGAGGCGTGGCGCCGGCGAGTTAGGCGTCTCTTTGCGGTTCCTCGAGGTGCAAAGGGACTTCGCGTGGGTTTTGCTGCTTGTCGTAGCGCAACGTGCTGCCCTCGTCCTTGTACAGTCGAGAGCTTGTCCCAGAATGATGTCGTAAGGCAGGCTGAGCTCGTGGGGTTCGGCGCACACAACGCGCGAATGAACTCCTTGTGGTTCGATTGATATTCATCTTCTGATGTAGCCAGATTCGTGGTCTCCGTCACGCCGTAGTCGCAGTGCCCGAAATTATGTCGTCGGTGTTCGTTCAGCCATTGCGCGTGTGCCCGATCCTCCGCTGCTGTCAAACTCGCTCCTCGCTCCCTCGGGAAAGCAATGCATACGTACCGCCAGCAAGTCCATATCCAGAAGCCATTGTCGCGGTATAGATGTGGGGTTCCTTAGCCATACATCGAGCTTCGACAGACGTGAGGTCGAGCTCAGCGCGCACTTGTCTGTGTTGGGTTAGACATTTCTTGGCACTTGCCGATGAGGTGACTCGACCAATCAAGTACTGCAAGCATATGTCAAAGTATTGTTACTCTTGTTCTTCTATCACCAACACCTCATAAGGCCGTTATCGACCAGCTTAAAGTCGTCGTTAGCCAGGAGTTTCGGATGCTCCTTGTCCTTGAATGGCTTACGTATGTCATTTTGCCCTGGGAGTCGGACCCTTCATAGCCAACCCAATATGTGTGAGCGTGGTACATCGTCGTCACCAGAATCTCTTCAAGGACCATAACGGCCCTAACGGCTTTTTCAGAGCTGGTTTCTGGGCCCACAGACTCATAGCTTTCAAGTCTCTGGTTCCGAAAGATTGAGGACAATTCATAACAAGTACTCTGCGTGCCTTGGGAACTGGAACATGATCTGCAAAGTTTCTCTATTTTGTGAGGCGCCTTTCCATTGCTCTCAACCCCTGACTTACTTTGCATCGAGAGAAGCTCTTGTTTGGTATCTAATATGCAACATTGTACCGTGAACAAGAGCAGGACATATATTGCAAACATTGGAAACAAGAGCGTCATAGGCCCAGGAAGCGATGATAGTCCACACTCAGGGCTCTGGTTGCAGGCTATTGGTTCCTTAATGAGGAGTTCGATGGTTTCATGATGTAAGTATGTCCTTTTTCAGTGGACCCTGATGCTGCTCCCCTCTCGACCCTTTCTGTTGAGGATTATTCAGTACAAGAAGTCACTTCCCTTGCTCTGTACTCTTTCCTCACTCGCTCTGCAACTTTTACTGCAGCGCATCACGTCACCGGAGAGCGCGCAAAAGGCTCTCGTTCAACAATACGAGGACATAGAGAACAAGACTTTCAACCATTTGAAGAACAGTCTGGTCTCCAAGGTCTATGGCGATGGGAGTTGTCTCATTCATTGCTTCCCTCAAGGCTTGAACGTACGTGGCGACTGCCACAAACAGCACGTTCTACACATAGACAACACATGGTGCACTGCTGGTTGCTACAATCCAAGTGCCAAGTCCATGGAGCCACTCCACGGTTTCAAAGAGAACAGTGACTGGCAAAGGAAGTTCGCCATCAGCGAAGTTAACTACTTCTATGGCGAAGTAGCTCCGGCCGCACTGGATTCTAGCTTGGAACCTGTGGTACCTTGTTCCAAGGGTGAACCCAGACATAATTCATGTTATTTCAAGAGACGCTCGGAATCAAAGATCATAGGAGGTTTTTCGCCTCATGACACAGCAGATCATTCTCTCGACCCTTACTACTGAAACCTTAAGAAAATGTCACGCCAGGTACACCGCTAAACCCTTTCTACGATTATCAAATCAGGTTTGGCTGGAACAGATGTAACCCGAACATGTGTCTGACAGCGATCAACGAAGCAAGAAGAACTGGAGGTTCGGTTAAGCCAGCTATCGTGTCTCCGTGGAGTCTCGCCAAGCCAAGATGATCAACGCTTCTTGGAACGCTCGTCAATCTGGCGACTTATCCATCTATTTTCCTGATGTCGTATATCTGGGCCCGTACACCAACAACATCAATGATGCCACACCTACCCTTGCTATCTGCTACAGCGAGATTGGTTACGTCAGTATTGGTGGTAACAAAGGGATACCATGCAGCTGCGGCAACATGTACGGGAACGAAACGCTTCTCAGGGCTCAAGCTGCTTCTGGTGCTTGGAGGAGCCCGCACTGGAGAAGCACATACAAAGATCTTGAATACTGTCTGGATGCCCTGGAACCTATGGCCCATCTGCATCCTGCAGCTTTTGCGCTGAACATTTGCAGAGCTTTCTATGCAGTACTCGCTCCAACGGGTTCCAATGCCACCCAGGGTAGGTTGCCTATCGATTCTTCCTCATGAATAACCACTGATAAAGCCTAGAGTATTTTGACGTCGGCCACTAAGCCGCAAAAAAAAAAGGCCTGAGACACTTACTGTGAATTCTATACTAAAAGTCCAGACAAGGACGATGCCCTCTACAACCACGAGATCTGCACACTGTGGAGGACACACCACAGGGGTGATAAACGCGGCCCGAACAACATGGAGAAGAGCTTCGCCAACGTAAACGACCTTCTTGAGGATCGTGGCTGCCATGAGTACAAGAGTGACACATCGGATGGTCCAGGAAGAACACACTGCAACATGACCGACAGCAGCTCAAGAAGCAGCAGCGACTGTGCCGATCAAGGGACTTCATCTCTGGGAAAGCGAAGCAGGAAGTTGAGTGAACTGCAAAAGGCTTGGAGGGAACAAAACAGCTCAAGAGGCTGGCAAACAAGGATGCCAGGCAGCAGAAGAAGTAGGGTAATGTGGGTGGTTTAGTTGCTTCACTGCACCGTGAATGTTCCAAAGATAGAAGCAACAGACTCCACGATAAAGCATGAAAAATCAAGGGTACATTATGCAAATTTGAAGCGGCACGCAGCCAAATTGGCCGATCGATTCTCACTGAATCGATGTTGTCCAGCATCGTACTGGCTGCCTATAAATCAGGCATTAGACAAAGAGAAATGACAGCACCTTCTGGGGAGCAGCCTGCCCACTCGGCGGAGCATCGGCAACGTAGAGACCCAGGCGAATTCTGTTCGAGCCGCAACAAGAGCTATAGTCTTCAAAGGTATTATTATACCACAGATCACCTCTCCATCAGCAGCGAGAAAAGCTTCAAGAGTTGCGTTGTCATTCAATATAGAATGTGTACCGCCGTTTCCGCCATCGAGGTTGTATGCACACCCAGCATTCCAAATCCCAGTGCTAGAGACATTCAGAACTGGACATCTGCCACTGGACATCTGCCATCAACAATCCGACGCAACTGCAATGTGAGACGGATCAACACAATCGAGCAGGCACATCCTCCATCACATCCCCGATTCATCCTCAAGCAGCTTTCTTCAAACAAGTCATATCATCCTTCATCCACTCGCCGGAATCGTCAACATGACACCTGCCTCAATGACATTCGGATCGGCGATCCCGTTCGCCTTCACAATGTCGCTGAGGCCCACGCCCGCGGTTGTAGCAATGAACGACAGCGTGTCGCCCTCTTGGGCAGCGAGGTTATTTCCATCGGCTGTTGTGGTGGGGGATGTGGAATTTGTTGCTGGAATCTGTTAGTACATAGAACTAAGAGAGACGGGGCTCCTAATGAATGCAAGTGGAAGTATCGGATATTAAGAGAAGAACAGGGGGCTTACAGGCGCGTTGAATCAGCTAGATGTGGGTGTAGCGGGACCACAGAGGCATGACGGGAGAAGAGGTAATAGTGGACATGAGAGCGGAGAGGAAGAGGAGCGTTGGCGTTGTCGGCTTCATCTCGGTAAAGTGAGGAGAGTTAAATAACGGTAGGTATAAGAGTAACACTACCGGTAGTATTAGCGAGAGACCAGCTTCAGTTCGAAGAGAGGAGAAACGATATGTTGTAAGCTGCAGTAACGAGTGTGTAGAGATAATGCACCCGATTTTGCCACAATATATACAAAATCGACATTCACAATCTTCCGAGGTGAACGCGTGGCGGCTTGATGCCGAGCAACACTAAGTGCCGTCGAACGTGGTTGTGACATGTCTTGGTCCATCGGCCAAGTCGGCCTACAGTATCATGTGTCTGCCTGCCGGTGGGAGACAGTCATTTCGCCCCGAGAACAAGGGTGCTGTGGAAGTCATTGTGGTTTCTATCCACGCGAGGCAGTAATTCAGATCCTGACGTTTGTGTACATATTTGATCAGGACTGGTTATCGTTCGCAGACCTTTGTAGATCCGTTCTCGAGCACGAACGTGAGTGACTACAGCCGTTGGCGAGGCGTTGTTACCCATCGGGCTGAGACAGGAATATCAAAAACATCATGGACAAAGTTGGAGTACAATGCAGACAGACCTTGAATGGGTCTGGAAAGAGACTCAAATTACTATGTGGCTGCTGAAATGCCCAGATGCAAGCACGCCCAAACGCTAAACGAAAACATCAATGAACCGGGTATGCAGAACGATCTAAAATGATGAACGAAACAGTGACAGCAACATTCTCTACGCACCAAGCGCAACGAGGCGGCTTTTCACATCCAATGGCCTCATCGCAGGCGCAACAACGACGCTGGAGATAGAACCCATATTGACCAAAGAAACATATCCTGGCGCAACCTCGTTCGCAAGAACCTCAATACACTTCATGGCCTCCTCCTTCGAGATCGGTGAGCGTATCGAGCCCTGCAATTGCTGCAATACCGTCGTTGTAGAGAATGATACGCGCATGCCTGGTCTGCTGGCACAGAGAAGCGAAAGCACACCGAGAACCTCTTCAGATCGTTGCAGGGCGGCTCGGCGTTGTAGCTCAGCGGGCGTTGGTGCAGCAGGGCCACATTTTGCAGCCTCTTGCTTGGCCAGAATACGGTCGAGGAGGTTTGTCTTGCGGACAGCAGCGAATTCGGTGATTTTCGGTTGTGCGGGTTCTGTTGGGGTGTTTTGGGAGATAGTCGGGTCGTTCTCTTTGCCAGACACTTGGCGCTTCTTCTGGGTTCGGCCGTGCTGGACGCTCTCCTTGAATTCTCGCATCCTCTTACGGCCCTTCTCTTGCAGCGGCGCAACGGCGTTGAGCGATTCGCAGGCCCCGATATCGGCGAGAGGGAGTTGTGCGAGGAACTTGGACATGGAGGCATCGTCAAGAAAGTTCTCGAGTCGTGCCTGGTTGAGGCCTGCCTTCCTAGGTCGACCACGTCCTCTCTTTGGTGTTGCAATCGGCCGTGTAGCTATCTTCTGTGAAATGCTCCATTGTGACCACAAGGCGTCCAGGCCCGCCTTGAACATGTCTGTCAATGCTTGCTCGTTCACTCCAGTCATGTCGCTCAGCATTGGACTGTTCTCTTTGACTTCGAGGACGATCTTGCCGCGGCCGTAGTCGGAGATATGGTAGGGAGTGTTCGAGCCATCAGGACCATAGTTGAGGACGCCTAGCAGGAGTCGAACGTCGTCATAGGTGACTTTGCGCTGTTTCCAGACTAATGTGGCAGATGCTGTGAGGTCTCGAAGGTCGGCGGGCGTGGAGGTGCCATTGTGCGCGTAATGCAGCGAAAGCGCGATAAGGAAGGACGAATGAAGCGCGAGAAGGTTCAGGAGCTCGACCGGGAGCTGACCAGATGCGATAGCCATGGTGGTTGATGATATTACAAGTAATGCGGTGCTGAAATACGGTAGACAATGGGTTGAGATGAATATGCCGTGACGATGAAGACGTGTACCGTTGGGAGGGACAACTAAAGTGCTTTTGGGCTGTGGGGTTCGGCGCAAATGGAAGGAACGTGGGCGCGTCCGAGCGCGCACGCGACGCGTTCCTTCCTCAATTTTCGCGTCGGCTAATCAACGCGCTATATCGGGGACGAACACCCATCACCAGCACATCAATGCGCAGGCCGTCAAGAGTAATGCTTGTTGAGGACGAATGGGCCTGGAAAACTTGCTGGCCAAATGAAAAGAAGTGCTGTGCTCGTTTGAAGAAGCTCGAAAGCCAGTTCACAGCCCAAGCAGCCCTTGAAAGCAGCAATGATCGTCACAGCTTGGTCTTTTGGCAGTTCGCAAAGGTTTCTGCTTTACCAAGCGCAGCTGTTCCACATGGCGACTCGCCAATCTACCTCCGCGTCCTCAGACCGATGACTACATTTTGTAAAGATGAGTCCACAGCATAGGAGGGGCATTGCTGCAGTTTTATGATCAGAATATTATTGTACGATGTTTGATTCATTATGAGCTGAGGTGGTCATTCTCGCATACTCCAGTGCTAAACGGCAAATGCAATGTCAAAATCCAAGCCATGTCCTTTCATCCAGTCTGTGACGAGTCTACTTACCACCGAACCAGGAACCCAACCAGCTCTTTGCTTGTGCGGCATCCTTGGTGACCTCCTTGTCGAACCTGTCGACGGCAGCGTTGAAGTCCTTGCTGGTCTCGCGGGTGAACTCGTCGCCCCGGACGCGGGCTTCATCCCACTTTTTCTTCGCCTCGACGCTCAGAGAGTTGTACTTGGCCTGGGCCTCGGCACTGTACTCCTGAGCTTTGTTCTGAGCTTCGGCACTGTATTGCTGGGCCTTGTTCTGCGCTTGTTGGGTGTAGGCCCTGAGTTCGGCTTCGGCCTTTTTTGCCTCGGCGCTGGCGCGGTTGGCCTGTTGTAGATCAGTGTAAGCTCAATGGGGAATGCCTAGAGACAATTTGAATGTCTGCGGATGACGTACGTAGTCTTGTGCGGTTGCGCGGACAGCCTCATATCCCTCCTCGCCTGCCTTCTTGGCCTCCTTGTCCTGACCAGGGAAGTCACCGCGGACTCTCCTTGTCACATTGGCAGCATCGTCTGGAACAGTCAGCGGTCTGTCTTTCAATGCAAGACTGGTGTTGACATACGCTCAAACTTCTTTTCAGCAAGTTTTGCGTCACCGCCCGCGCTGTAGAGGTAGTAGGTAGCTCCACCGACAGCGGCGAGACCACCGAAAGTAGCAAACCTGCGTCCGGCCATGGTTGGTATGAGCGGCGATATTGGGGTTGGTGAAGGAGCGGTTTTTGCGATATAAACAAGTTCGTGCAATTGATAAAGAGTCTGCGAGGGGATGAGCCGCAGTACTTAAGAGGGGAATGAGAGCTTCCAGCCGCATCACGACAGGCTACGTCATAGCAAATCCAAGAACGCACAGACGAGCCCATCGCGAACCAGATCGCCAGACTACCCAAGCGCATCCCAGCTACTTCCAACGAACGCTCTCAGGCTGCGAGCCGCTCTTCTTCACGCATTACTATGTCTATATAGCATAATCCGGTGCACTTGTGCCCATCATTTCTTCTGCGCTGTGCTATTGTTGCGGCTTTTCCTACGCGCGAATCGTTGACAGCCCCTAGACGTGCCGTCTCCGTACCGTTCTTGCCTTGCTGGCACGCTTTCCCCATGCATCCACGGTAGTAACGGCGTGACGCCTCTTGATCCCATTGACCTTGGACATCTGCTGCACGACGACACAAGACGTGATGGCCGAGCAGAACATCCAGCTTGTCGATCACACAAACGGCGACAACACACCTACGAGCCAGTCGGAGGCCCCTCGAACGCCCGACTCGCACATCGACATACTATATGAAAACCAGCGAGGCTGGTTCGTCTTCGGCATACCACTCTTCTCTTCGAAGGCACTATGGAACTTCAGGGTCGACCCCGCGCCATGGGTCGACGCCAAATTTAAACACTCGGCTGTGAACATCACAAATGCGCAAGTACCTGACCCGAGCTGGGTGTGGGACTGGAAGAGCTGGTATGTCGACATGAGCCTGGATGTTGATGAGGAGGGGTGGCAGTACAGCCTCCTCTTCAGGGGCTCGCCGTGGCATGGCAATCATCCGTGGTTTCACAGCTTTGTCCGGAGGCGGCGGTGGCTACGACGACGAGTGAAGCAAAAGATACTGCCGAAGACGAAGGCAACCATACGGGAAAGGTTGTTCGGCGACCGATTCAGCGTTGGTGGCACCACCCTGCTGAGGGCAGAAACACCAGGCACATTGAGCGTACAGGATAGTAGTGCTCAAGCCTCTGTGGATGAAGAGGTCCGCGACACCGTCACGTTGATGAGGAAGCTGAAGGCAGCTGCCATTGATCGGGAGAAAATAGTCATCATCAACAGGTTCATTGCAGACGGGGGTGAAGAGCTACACTACCTCGCAGAACAAGTTCGTACTCTCCTGACTTTATCATAACCTACGCTAACATCCACAGATACCTGCCATCATGTCTATGCTCATCTTCCAGAACTCGCGCCGCCAACTTCTCTCTACTCTCAACGACACTTTCGACTCCGCTCAGCGCCATCGCGACGAGCACGAATCCCAGGACAAGCCTGAAGGGGAAGCCGAAACCCGTAGAATCAACAACCTTCTTAAAGCCGTCAAGGCAGCCGACGCAGAGTGCAAGAAGCTGGAGTACTGGAGCGATATACGGGAGCTAGCTGTGGGGGGCAAGGCCGGCAATGCCACAGCTGAAGAAAGTGGGTGGGACGAGAAGTGGCAGGGTATTGATGACAGTGGGCCGAAGCACCCTACACCATCGACGAGGTCGTCAGTCACAACGACCTAGCAGCATCTTTGTTGCCACCGGCACTCAACTTAGCACTTCAAGCGCATACCTACTTCTTGTAATCTAATACCTCGCAACGCAACGCTCTATTGCGTTTGCACTTTCCTCACACGAATCGGTCCTCTAATATCAGACAAGCTTTCCACATCAAGCACCTCTCCTTTCTGCAGCACTTCTACCTCACCCTGTTCCCTTAGCTCCCACACCAGTTCCCGAATATCAACCATCGTGGCTCGCCAGTCCAGCGCGTCCAAAGTCGAGAGATCTGAGGCTGACATTGCACGAGCGATCTCGGAAGGGCAGACGGTCTTCGGGTAGTCCCGAGAGCTGATGAGACGGCGGGTGTGCCCGAGAATTATCTCGCGCTGTTGATCGTCCAACGCCATGGCTTTGTGAGACTGCAGCGATTATCGTGCTGGGCTTGGCGAAGCTGGCGAGTATTGATTTGGCTTGCAACTCTCCCCTCACTCATGTCTCAAGACGTGCGTGAGTGCCCTGCAGTGGGGCAGGTGGTGTACAGGGACTTGCACTTGGTTTCTCGTCTGGTCTTGGCCAGCGGAAGCGTGATTGTAAAACCTGAATCCCTGTGGAGACAGAGCAAATCATCCCTTTGTAGTTCCTTTTTACGAGGATTTCCGCGAAAAGAGTTTCCGTGCTTAGCGACCACGTATCTGGATCGGCGCAAGGCCTGGGGGTTTGGGATCGGTTTGATAGGATAATTTGACGTCAGAGCGCCCAATCGGACCGCAGCGAGCGCAAACTTCCCACAGGTTCAACACGTCCACCGCATAAGAGCGGCTGCAAACAAGAGGGGTCTGGTGGACTGCTTTGGTGTGTCAGGATGCAGCGCGGATTACCCCACGCTGGCCGAGCTCTTTTTAGGGCGGGTTCTTTATCGCGAGCTTCTAATTTCTCCTTCTGTTCGCAGGGCCCGTTGTTATCGACTCACACCTCAGCTTCTCTAGCTTCGTTGCTTCGATCTCCGCTCCCGCAGCAGCACGTTAGAGCATTTACAAAGAGTTCCTTCTTCACGAGTAACTGGTACAAGAAGATGACTGGCCAGGAGAATCCCCAGACCACCCAGGAGGTCAAGAAGTACCTGCAGCAGAGCCATGACCGCATCTTCGAGAACAACAAGAAGTGGGCCGAGGAAATGGCGAAGAAGAAGCCCGAGTTCTTCAAGGACCTAAGCGCTGGCCAGTCGCCGGACTACCTATGGATTGGTGAGTCCACTGCAGCATCTCCGGCGCTCTTCAATCACGCAATGCAGATGCGCCGTGAAGTCGAGCTCAGCTAACAACAGCACAGGCTGCTCCGACTCGCGCATCCCCGCCGAAGCTCTGACCGGCGTCGACCCCGGCGAGATGTTCATCCACCGCAACATCGCCAACCTCGTCAACAACATCGACCTGAACGTCATGTCGGTCGTCAACTACGCCGTGCGCCACCTCAAGGTGAAGCATGTCGTGGTCTGCGGACACTACGGCTGCGGCGGCGTCAAGGCCGCCATGACACCGCAGGACCTCGGGCTGCTGAATCCCTGGCTGCGAAATATCCGCGACGTGTACCGTCTGCACCAGGCTGAGCTTGACAGCATCACAGACGAAGTCGCCAAGTATGATCGCCTGGTCGAGCTCAACGTCATTGAGCAGTGTAGGAACGTGATTAAGACAGCGGCGGTCCAGCTGAGCTATGCGCAGAACGAGTTCCCGATTGTGCACGGTTGGGTGTTTGGGTTCAAGGACGGGCTGCTGAAGGATCTGAAGTTCGACCATGAGGGCGAGCTCAAGGAGATTCAGAAGATCTACAACCTGAACGACCTTGCTTAGACGGTAGGCTGAGAGAGGACAGTGATTTCGGCGAGGAGTCGAGGACGAAGAAGTTGTTGTAAAGCAGTAGGAGAGGCGTTCAAGGCGAGCGGTTGTTGAGCTTGGTCTATTTCTAGCCTTACACGCTGATGCTGGTAGACTTCGCAGAATGGACGATGATATTCGGAACACTACACACATCGTAACATGCGAATTTTCTAACTGCTGTTCGTCACGATAAGTTACTGTTTTGGGTCAACGATAAAGTTCTCAACTAGGTAACCACAACACGAGCTCCTATACCCGTTCACTAACTCCGATGACTACATGCAGTCATCGCTGCACTGCGCACGACAGCAGCCTAATTATCCAACTAATCTATTTCTTGCCAGTCAACGCAACATGCACCCCGATCTGCACATAAGGCTGGCACATTGCAGACTTCTGCAGCTGGATCTTGGCGGATTCAGGCATACATCGATAGCAGCTCCGGACGAACTCCTGAGGCTGCCGAGTGCCACGTACGGGGTTAGACTCAACAGCGTCTTTGCAGGAAGATAGCATACAGTGAGCGAAAGAGCAATGTAGGATACAGGCATGAACAGAATCGCCATGATGGTCCTCACTACACAACTCAAGAGCTTTCAACTGCACACAAGAGTCAGGAACATTCTTCCTGTCCAACTTCACCAAGCTCACCTCTACCATTTACTCTATATTGTTCTCGGCATGTCGCGCTACGCCGAAGCTCAGAAAGTCGGCAACCTTCGCGGTGCCGGCGATGCGCGTCCTACCGCCCTTCAAGTTATACAGGATGAGGGCTTGACCGGCAAGCTTACTGACAAAGTCTTTCTGATTACCGGCGTCTCCCCAGGCATCGGTATCGAGACTCTGCGAGCCCTTCACACCACTGGTGCACTTGTCTTTGACACTCGCTCTCTAAAGGTCACAAGGTCGTCGAAACACCATCTTGTCTGAGGCACACCCCTCCGGCGGCAAGATCATCCTCGTCGAACTGTCACTTGATAGCCTCGCCATGTGCGATCCGGAGCAGCAGACTTTCTCCAGAAATCAAACGACAAGGTAAACCTCCTTGTCGCTAACGCTGGCATAATGGCCACCCCATACGAGAAAACCGTGGACGGCTTCGAGTCACAATTCGGCACCAATCACGTCGCACACTTCCTCCTCTTCCAGCTCCTTAAGCCCGCACTACTCGCCTTCGCAACCCCAGAGTACCTGTCTCGCGTCGTAAGCGTGACATCAAGAGACCACTTCTTCGGCCCGCCACTGCTCGACGACTACAACTTCGAAACCACGCCCTACGGCCCCTAGCACATACGGCCAGTCCAAGACCAAACATTTGGCTCGCCAACGCGATTACATCACATTTCGGGAGCAGAAATCTGCATGCTACTGTTGTGCACCCTGGGCTCATTACGACTTCCAACTTGGGCACGCATCTTCCCGAGGATCAGCAGAAGATTTTCTCCGAGCCTGAGGTCTAGCGCACTGCTAAGAGCGCTGAGCAGGGCGCTGCGACGCAGGTTTGGGCTGCTGTTGGGCAGGAATGGGCGGGTAAGGGAGGTAGATATTTAAGTAATGTGGCGCAAGCCATAAGTAACGAGGAGAAGGCGAAGGAGGAGGGGTTGAGTTATATGGTGAATGATGGGTACAAGGAGTGGGCATACGATGCTAAGGGAGCGGAGAGGCTGTGGAAGGAGAGCTTTGGCATGGTGAGCCTGGAGAAGAGGAGGAGTAATACTGGTGTTGTAATGGCTGGCCTTTTGTTCTTCGGTGTTCACAGGTTTCGTTTTGCAATGGAAGAATCCTGCTCTCTAGTAATCCGTCCGCGTCTTCCACTTGCATTTATCTCAGGACGACATCCACGCAGACATGAACGGAATCGCAGCAGCAGCCCCAAAGTGCGGCACCGCCGCTCCCATCCCAGCGTACCGCCACGTCACCCACCCATCCACACAGCCATCAATCGCCAACATTGGCGCCATCGTCGCCGCAGCCTTTTGAATCCGCTTTGAAATGAAAACAGCACTGATAATGCCAAAAGTCAGGTTGCGTCCGCCCATACACTGTACCAAGCCCGAGGCGAAGGTATTGTCGGCTATGGGCATGCCGAAGAGAGCTGCCACTGTTGTAGGGCTCAGGAGTGCGAGCACGCCAGTGCTGAGGAGGAAGGCGGTTATGGAGTAGCTGGCGAGGAGCTTGAGATTTGCATGGTCGGTCATGAATGATATGGTCTTTGTAGAAGTTTATACGACGAGGCTCCTTCGAAAGTGTTTTGGCCGAACTCGTGAACAGACTGAAGAGAGAATCTGTGCGATCAAAGTTGAAGACGAATCGTGATTAGCAAATGTGTGTTTTGTGATGTGTCTTGGATGAGGTTCGACATTGTGACAGTGAGCCTGAAGAAGATATACACGAGCAGTACCCATGAGCATCGTTGCGGTACACATGACGTCCTCGATATTGGTGTATTGCGAGGTTTTAGTAACCTGAAGTCAGTGTAGAGACGAGATCGATGCAACTAGAACGAAGGCTTAATGAAAAACACAGGAGTGGGTTCCTCTAGGTGTCTGTGACAGCTACTGGGGTGCTGGAGGCTTACGTAAGTAGTGCGGTTTGCAACATGTTTATTATAACGGTTTTCGAAATACCATGTACATCACGTGCAGTGGCGAGGGGTATTCTTAGAACTTCAACGCATCACCTATAGGCTAATTCTGAGTGTA